GTAGTAGTAGTAGTAGTAGTAGTAGTAGTAGTAGTAGTAGTAGTAGTAGTAGTAGTAGTAGTAGTAGTAGTAGTAGTAGTAGTAGTAGTAGTAGTAGTAGTAGTAGTAGTAGTAGTAGTAGTAGTAGTAGTAGTAGTAGTAGTAGTAGTAGTAGTAGTAGTAGTAGTAGTAGTAGTAGTAGTAGTAGTAGTAGTAGTAGTAGTAGTAGTAGTAGTAGTAGTAGTAGTAGTAGTAGTAGTAGTAGTAGTAGTAGTAGTAGTAGTAGTAGTAGTAGTAGTAGTAGTAGTAGTAGTAGTAGTAGTAGTAGTAGTAGTAGTAGTAGTAGTAGTAGTAGTAGTAGTAGTAGTAGTAGTAGTAGTAGTAGTAGTAGTAGTAGTAGTAGTAGTAGTAGTAGTAGTAGTAGTAGTAGTAGTAGTAGTAGTAGTAGTAGTAGTAGTAGTAGTAGTAGTAGTAGTAGTAGTAGTAGTAGTAGTAGTAGTAGTAGTAGTAGTAGTAGTAGTAGTAGTAGTAGTAGTAGTAGTAGTAGTAGTAGTAGTAGTAGTAGTAGTAGTAGTAGTAGTAGTAGTAGTAGTAGTAGTAGTAGTAGTAGTAGTAGTAGTAGTAGTAGTAGTAGTAGTAGTAGTAGTAGTAGTAGTAGTAGTAGTAGTAGTAGTAGTAGTAGTAGTAGTAGTAGTAGTAGTAGTAGTAGTAGTAGTAGTAGTAGTAGTAGTAGTAGTAGTAGTAGTAGTAGTAGTAGTAGTAGTAGTAGTAGTAGTAGTAGTAGTAGTAGTAGTAGTAGTAGTAGTAGTAGTAGTAGTAGTAGTAGTAGTAGTAGTAGTAGTAGTAGTAGTAGTAGTAGTAGTAGTAGTAGTAGTAGTAGTAGTAGTAGTAGTAGTAGTAGTAGTAGTAGTAGTAGTAGTAGTAGTAGTAGTAGTAGTAGTAGTAGTAGTAGTAGTAGTAGTAGTAGTAGTAGTAGTAGTAGTAGTAGTAGTAGTAGTAGTAGTAGTAGTAGTAGTAGTAGTAGTAGTAGTAGTAGTAGTAGTAGTAGTAGTAGTAGTAGTAGTAGTAGTAGTAGTAGTAGTAGTAGTAGTAGTAGTAGTAGTAGTAGTAGTAGTAGTAGTAGTAGTAGTAGTAGTAGTAGTAGTAGTAGTAGTAGTAGTAGTAGTAGTAGTAGTAGTAGTAGTAGTAGTAGTAGTAGTAGTAGTAGTAGTAGTAGTAGTAGTAGTAGTAGTAGTAGTAGTAGTAGTAGTAGTAGTAGTAGTAGTAGTAGTAGTAGTAGTAGTAGTAGTAGTAGTAGTAGTAGTAGTAGTAGTAGTAGTAGTAGTAGTAGTAGTAGTAGTAGTAGTAGTAGTAGTAGTAGTAGTAGTAGTAGTAGTAGTAGTAGTAGTAGTAGTAGTAGTAGTAGTAGTAGTAGTAGTAGTAGTAGTAGTAGTAGTAGTAGTAGTAGTAGTAGTAGTAGTAGTAGTAGTAGTAGTAGTAGTAGTAGTAGTAGTAGTAGTAGTAGTAGTAGTAGTAGTAGTAGTAGTAGTAGTAGTAGTAGTAGTAGTAGTAGTAGTAGTAGTAGTAGTAGTAGTAGTAGTAGTAGTAGTAGTAGTAGTAGTAGTAGTAGTAGTAGTAGTAGTAGTAGTAGTAGTAGTAGTAGTAGTAGTAGTAGTAGTAGTAGTAGTAGTAGTAGTAGTAGTAGTAGTAGTAGTAGTAGTAGTAGTAGTAGTAGTAGTAGTAGTAGTAGTAGTAGTAGTAGTAGTAGTAGTAGTAGTAGTAGTAGTAGTAGTAGTAGTAGTAGTAGTAGTAGTAGTAGTAGTAGTAGTAGTAGTAGTAGTAGTAGTAGTAGTAGTAGTAGTAGTAGTAGTAGTAGTAGTAGTAGTAGTAGTAGTAGTAGTAGTAGTAGTAGTAGTAGTAGTAGTAGTAGTAGTAGTAGTAGTAGTAGTAGTAGTAGTAGTAGTAGTAGTAGTAGTAGTAGTAGTAGTAGTAGTAGTAGTAGTAGTAGTAGTAGTAGTAGTAGTAGTAGTAGTAGTAGTAGTAGTAGTAGTAGTAGTAGTAGTAGTAGTAGTAGTAGTAGTAGTAGTAGTAGTAGTAGTAGTAGTAGTAGTAGTAGTAGTAGTAGTAGTAGTAGTAGTAGTAGTAGTAGTAGTAGTAGTAGTAGTAGTAGTAGTAGTAGTAGTAGTAGTAGTAGTAGTAGTAGTAGTAGTAGTAGTCGTCCCTTTTTTTTAATTGAATTGATCTTCAATGATTTACGATTTCACGTTTCCGCTATTTTGCCCGTAAAAGAGGCTTGTCGCTAGTAGTAGTAGTCGTCCCTCTCTAATCCGGCACTTTATAATCCAGCACCCTCGATAAACCAGCACAATTTTCAGTAGCCAAAATGTCCTCTTCATGCACATTGCAGCAGTAAATCAGATTTGTTAATCCAGCACCCTCCCTAATCCAGCAGATTTTCGTGGCACAAATGGTGCCGGATTATAGAGGGACCACTGTAGTAGTAGTAGTAGTAGTAGTAGTACTAGTAGTGTGTGTGTGTGTGTGTGTGTGTGTGTGTGTGTGTGTGTGTGTGTGTGTGTGTGTGTGTGTCCCGACCTCGGAGTCCTTCGCGAGGCTTTGCAAGCCCGCGAGTGGAGCAAACTACAGCACGAAGACGACGCCTTGGAACGACTCTGAGCGTTGGCTCATGGAATGTTCGCTCTGTTGTGGAGAGTGATGGTTACCACTTCTAGCGGCAGCCGTGAGAGGAATCGTTTCCGATGATAAGCCAGATCCATAGCTGCTGGAGATGGCTCTCTCAAACCTTTACATGGTCCCGCTCGTCGTTCTATATTGTCGGCCCCGTAAGGGGACACGTGACCGTAATGGCAGTGTTTACCAGGACCAGGTGTGTGTGTGTGTGTGTGCATACCTGTCGGAAGGCTACCTTCTTGCCAAAGCATTTGGAACTGTAACTAGTTGGCCTAGTTTCGGCAAAACACAATCCAGTGTGTCCTTACAGTGTACTATAATTATAGCTTTCATGGCTGAGGACAGTGAGGTTGTTGGTATGTCTTTTGGCCCTGGGTTCCCAGTACCCAGCGGCGAGGCTAGTTGGTAAACTAACCCCAATTTCACTTCAGGGTACCAGTGCATCTGGTAGATGGTGTGACTGTGTCTGCTTCTCTCAAAGCAGCATGCAGTCTACTGATTAGTAGTGATTACCCCAGCAAGTGTCTTGGCCGTCTACTCGGTGTGGTGTAGACCAGGTGTGCATTGGGTGGTCGATTCGCATGGCTTCGCCAGTTGTGTGGATTAGACAGTTATCTGGCGCTTGTCTTGATCTATTTCAATCAGAATCAGATCCATCGCTATCGTTGCTATAGAGAACAATCTGTAGGTGCACATCCAGTGCATTTGCAGATTTGCGTGCTTCTCTTGCGACGGGCGTATGGTACATGGTGTGTGTGTGTGCGTGTGTGTGTGTGTGTGTGTGTGTGTGTGTGTGTGTGTGTGTGTAAATGAGGCAATGCCAATGGTGTGGATACCAGCGAGTGGTAAAATACGACTCCCTGGTGGATACATTACATGGATGACAAGATTCAAGCTCATCCGCACATGTTTACATGACTTGTAGCAAGAGTTCATGAGCTCTTGCTTGTAGTGACCAGTCAATTTACGAAATCATAACAACTCTAGCTGCACATCGGTGACTAACAACTCTTTATAGCGGCACATCAGTGACTACTCAATCGGTGGGAAGCTTCACGTTACAGAGCACGTACCTCGCTTTAATTAACCACACTTCAGTTATCTGCGAGTTCTGATATACGGATTATGAACTCTTGATATTAAAAATACCTATCAGCAAGAGTACATGACCAGGTTATGTACTCTTGCTACCAGGGAGTAGTAAAATAGAGTGTAGTATTATACTACTCCCCGCGGATACCGATTAACTGTTTCTTGAAGCCGTCAGACTTCTTGATGCGCTTGATGTGCTTCTTTCATGTACACAACCAAGAGACTTAGAGTTCAACCCAGTTATGGACACTTGGCATGTCAGCAAGAATATACATGTAACTCGTTTACACAGTTACAATGATTATGTACTATACACAGTCACACCATTCTGATTTCATGCATGTCCTCGGGATACTGGGCACAATCACACTGCTGTACTGGCCAAATGTCCGGATACAATGATGTTCAACTGCCTTCCTCGTGAGAACATAAGCCACATGACATGACACATGACATGACACATGACATGACACATGACATGACACATGACATGGCACATGAAATGCACTCACATGCACAGTACTACCGGTCTGGACCATTCACTAAAAAAACGAGGAATTAATTATTTAAACAATCGACGAGGAGACAATTGTCGCCCGTTTAAATGGCAATAAATAAGATAAATTGTGCACTCATAACAACAGCAAAAATGAAGAAAGTCAAGTAAGTAATTAGTTCCATAACGTTTTCTTGTGACTGTCATCAGTGGAACGCCGTCCCATTAAAAAAAATTTTAATTAATTATTTATTTATAATTATTATACTAAAGCCAGATCCAATGATTATGCAAGATTCTATAGGAGTGTGGTCTGAGCCAAATAATGTAAGCCTGGTCCTTTGCGTGCTTTGAGCACCTGCGCAATGCCACATGTGCATGGCGATGTGCTGGTTACACATGGTACCAAGAGTACAGTCATGCAACTGTACAGCAAGGGTGCTTTTGGACATTTTTAAAATTCTGGGGAAGCTCATCCAACTCCCTGGCGGTCTAGGGCCCCGGCACTAGGGGTGCCGTAGAAGGCCAAGCGGGTTACACACATTACCTACGTCTTTGAAAGCTACAAGTGAAGCCTTCCTTCAAACCAGACGCAGTTGATCTCAAAACGTCACGGTGGACGGTGGAAGAAGTGGAAAACCAGCCACACCATCATCTAAGGGGCACACACCATGATCAGCGGTAAGGAGCACACACCATGATCAGCGGTAAGGAGCACACACAACACTGCAAGGGGCACACACACACAACACTGCACGGAGACTGGAAAGTATGGAAATCACTAATAAAAAGATAAGATAAGCTGATGAGATAATAGGTGTTCCGGGGGAGGATTAAACAAAAACACTGTTAGTAAGGCCGATATAGACAGAGAAACTAGAAGGTAATAATTATGATGATGATGTGAGCAGTACAAATACAGCAGCAACTTTCCAGACATCAGCGGACAACGGGTTAGATATGGGATTCCAAGCAAGACGCAATCAACACAATCGCCAGTGAGTGTGAGTGTGTGTTTCATCGAGATTAGTGCACTCCGCCGGCACCTGCACCCGGCGGACTGCTTAGAATCAAGCACATGAACACAGCCATAGATATAGTCACATATACAGATACAGGCACAGACAGACAGACAGACAGACAGACATACATACATACATACAGACAGACATGTACATGCCTGCACACTCGCACACACACAGCAGCAGCCTACATCTGCCGGAAGCGCGAGTTGCGTTTGATTGTTCTTCCACTGCGAGACGTGCCGGTGACCTCATTGCTTGGCACGGAATCAGCGCTGCTGACTGCGGCCGACGCAGGAGTGAAGTTCTCCTCACCATCCGATGAATCATCAAAGTAGGTGGCACGCTGTGCTGCTCTGCGCTGGCGCTTTGCAGGAGGAGCCTGCTGCGGCTGCTGCTGCTGTGTTACCTTGATCTTCAATTTCAGAGGTGGCTTGGCCGGCGTTCGCGGCGTCGCCTTCACGGGCTTGGCTGGTGCACGGCAATTCCTTGCAGGTGTGGCGGCGGCGGTGGCGGCAGCGGCTGCTGGCTTGCGGTGGCTGCGGGCTGCAGATCTTCTCCGGCGAGGGCCATCGTCATCGTCCTCATCGTCCTCCTTTTCCTCGCTGGACTCGCCAGTAGCGTTCTCATCCAGCTCTTCTTCGCTCTCCTGCTCGCTTGCGTCGTCCTCGTCTTCGTCAGAGTCTGCACTGCTATTGTTGTTCTGGCCATCACACGCAGAGTCGTCCGGGTCAGAAGAAGAGGACGACGACGTGCAGGCCGAAGAGGAGTCCTGGCGACGGCGCTTAAGTGCCTTCTTGGCATGCTGCGCAGAGCGACGCGAATTCTTCTTCGGAATGATTCCGATATCAGGAAGATCATGACCGTTGTTGCAGTCGCGGAGGAAGTCGAGGACGAGATCATCATACTTACGCCACAGGCGAGAGGTCAGTTTATACACCTGTGCAAGCGAACAAAAGACACAGAAAATGGCAGGAGAAGACCAAAGTATTGGTGAAAAAAAACTGCAGAAGGGCTGTCGTGACTTGTGTTGTAGAGCTGATCCAGCCCTTCCCGGATGTGCACAGCCAAGCAGAGTACGTGTGCAGACCATGCTGCAAAGTGCTGCTGCTGCTACCCACCCTGTCACCATGCAGTGCAGTCATTTCTGCATGCAATCATGCACCAGATCACCTACATATTAATTTACTAGCTACAGTATTAGCTTTGCACGGTTTTGTTCTGCATTTCCGTGTGTGACACTTCAAGTATTAGGACAGGAGGAGTCCAGTGAATGGTCGGAATAATGCCTTAACGGGACTACCTGAAGTACAGTAAAACCTGATTTAAGCGACCACCCCACGGTGCAAAGCAAAAGCGGTCGTTAAAGCCAGGCGATCTTTAGAACCAGGTCCCACAGTGTCTGTGTAGAACTGTCGGTGCATGGAGAAGTGGTCGTTAAGAGCAGGTGGTCGCTAAACCCAGAGGTCGTTTACACCAGGTTTTACTGTAGTTAATTATTTAAAAGCAGTTTAGTACACCCAGTGAGTTTTCAGAAAACATCAAAGCAAGTACATGACAGTACTAGCAGGGGTGAAATGTTTCGCGATATTTCCCTAGTAGCTTAGCCCTAGTAGCTTAGCAGGTAACTACCAGCATATCAGGCCAGCAACACTTTTCTTACAACATGTTCTACTTCAATACCTGTAACACAATTGGCGGACGATAATTCCTGGACGAATTCAGATGTAGGAAAAACCAACTTCAATTTTATCAGGCCAAAAAACCCACGGCTACCAGTGATGACCAGTGGTATACGAGTACTCGTAGTAAATCCAATTCAGAAAGAGATCCGCGAGCTCCTCAGGACAACTAGGTAAACACAATTAATGACCCACTGGTGGGCCAGTAATATTGTACTACTCGTCGATTCTGTGCTCGCACGCTGTGTTAGAGGCATTTCGACAGCCCGGTCTGCATGTAGGAGTGACGCTGTTCCTTTATGTTCATTGTCACGCAATCTGCACTCATTCGAAATCGACAACGAGCAAAATAATCGCTTGGGTTGTGTTCAATGTGTTGTAAGCAGCAATTACAGTCGACCTACCCTTATAACGATAACCTCTATAACGATATTACCCTTATAACGATATTTTTCTGCCAAACCAAATCACTCCATTGACTTTTGTATACAATGCCCTACCCTTATAACAATATTGCTATAACGATATTACCCCTATAACGATATAAAATGGGCTGACCAATCAACATTTTCCATTTTATAACAATATCTAGCAGGGAAGATGTAGAGCCCACTATCCAGGTAGGGCAAATTTCACTTGATAAGTCGCTGGGACATGACGAAATGCAATGGGGGCACCAGTGGGCACCTTGCTGTGTACATGATGTGCATGTATGTCAGTTTTTTATGCTATGAAGAGTGTAGAAAAATTGAACAAAATCCATGCATTATGACGTTGTGTATGAAATGAACCAGTTACCCCTATAACAATATTACCCTTATAACAATAATTCTTGGTCTGACGCAAATATCGTTATAAGGGTAGGTCGACTGTACTGAACAGGGAGTAATAGGCGTAACCGCTCCATAGTACTCCACAGTACTCCACAGTACTCCATAGTAAGTGAGTAGTTCAGCATAGTGCAGTACATAGGAAAGCACTTGCCTCGGATGATTTCTGACTGTTGTACAGTCTAGAGTTGTTGAAGATCATCACCAGCGCGCGGCAAAAGTCAGGAATGGTAGCGTACTCGCCACGCAGCATGCGCTCACTCAGTGTCTTGAAATCGATCGGATGTGTCACGTACTGTAGGTAGTCCTGATACGCAAACAAAAACGAAAAACAAACATACCTTATACCACACTGGCTGCAATGTTTCTAGACAACTAGTTAACACAACACACACAACAACAACAACAACAACAACAACAACAACAACAACAACACACACACACACGTGTGCACACAGACACACACACACACACACGTGCGCACACATACACACCCGTGCGCACACAGACACACACGCATAAAGGCATCCAACCACACTTGCTATAATAGCAGTAAAAGCAGACAAGCAGCCAGTTCTTCAAATGCAACAATTCTATTCTATTCTCTCTGTCTCTCGCTCTCCGTCTCTGTCTGTCTGTCTGTCTGTCTGTCTGTCTCTCCCTCCCTCCCTCTCTCTCCCTCCCTCTCTCTCTCTCTCTCTCTCTCTCTCTCTCTCTCTCTCTCTCTCTCTCTCTCTCTCTCTCTCTCTCTCTCTCTCTCTCTCTCTCTCTCTCTCTCTTTCTCTTTCTCAGTGTGCCATAGTGCTCAAAACTACGGACGGAGACCTCCGAGGACAAAGAAAAGAAAAGTGGCGACAGTAGTTGAGAGGGAAGAGCTGAAAGAGCAAATGTGTTGTCCGATGCTGCATACACACGTATACTATACAGTATATCCCACGACCATAGTACCATAAGTTAGTAGCAAGAACGGGTTTCCACAAGATAGCCAGACATGAACTGCAAGCTTGAGGAGAGAGAGGTCAGGTGGCGGTACATGTACTCACAGGCAACGACTTAAGGTCGACAGGCTCCTGAAAGACACGCGCTGGATCGAGCACGGCAATATCCTCTATGAGCCGCGAGCAAAACTGGTACAGATCCTGTTTCACACAGCCCAGAAAGAGAACAGAGAAAACCACACTGTCAGTCCATGTCCTAAGCTGGAGAGGCAGGAGAATACAATGTACAGTTGCGAACTTGCGACCCAACATGCACATTTGGCGGCGCACTCAACTTGCACGGCCCTTGGCGCCGTGGAAGTGGCACAAATGCGGCCGGACACACACATAATACAAATACAGTACAATGATGTAATCGGAACTGGTCCAGGGCATTGCCAGCTTTGCACTTTGGGTCGGATTCAGTGAGCGCAACTGTACCTGTATGTGCACCCTACAAAGACAATACTGTTTGACTGGTGATCATGACAAACAACAAGCCACACAAACTAGATAGATATAAATTTTAAAAACCCGAGCGTGCTAGTAATGAAAATCGGAGGTGAAGCGATTGTGCGGCCTCCCAATAAGTCAGGAGTAGATGAGGTCAAGTGAACTGGAGAGGTTTTACTCTTGGCTCTAACTTCTGTGCTCTATGTACTTCGATGTAGTCATACGCGGGTAGTTATGGTGCTTGCCAGTGATTGAAGTGCAGCGCAGTACTGTATTTAAAGCCCGGTTCACATTCTATGAGATACTCATGATGGCACATAGTGGAACCGTCAGCAACGGGAACACACCCATGTCACCGTACACATTGGAATGCGACGGAAGAGTTGGAGTTGTTCAACATTTCAAAATGTATGCGGGACCATGAGTGCACAAACCGGCCGCGGTTCGAGTGTGAACAGGCAGCAGTGGCGTGCTGTGGTGCACGACACTTTGCTATTTTGCACATTTCAAGCGCTACGCTTGCCCGGAGAACTTTTCAAATGGCTTATATCATATGAGCACTCACCGGTGTCAGTGGCTGGTTGGGACATTCCCCTGGAGCCTGTAGTACAGAATAACACACACACACACACACACACACACACACACACACACACACACACACACACACACACACACCAGGACCACCGCATAGCCACGTGTAGCATGCACAGAGAAGCAGAATGTTGAAGCAGCAAAACAGCAAAACAGCAGCAGCAGCAGCAGCAGCAGCAGCAACAGTGCTAGTACACAATACGTGTAGAACATTATACACAGCACTAAGTTCTAAAAAAAGGGAGATACCAATCAATAGACTGCGTCAGGACACATCTTTGTTGGTTTTATAATGCAGTTCTCACAATGTCTGACATTCATGCACACTGTGGACCTAAACCAGCCTGTACACAGTAGATACACACATGTACATGTATCACACACTGACGACGGCGAGGTAACATTACCACAAACTGCTCTCCTGGCCTACAATCTTCCACATACCTCGTTATGAGCATGCTTGTTTCCCCGAGTGATGCGCACAGGCTCGGGCTCATCGTCTTCGGACGAGGACGAAGCATTAAATCCATTAGCCGCCACAGAGCCATTCAGAGCTGCTCTCGTTCGCCGTCGCACTGTCCGGATACCAGAGGAGTGAGAGGAGCCGTCGGCGCTAGCGTTGCTGCCGGATCCCAGGAGACGAGAGTTGGAATGCGACGCGGCAACTGCGGACAAAGACGAGGCTGCACCGGCCGAGCCAGCGGCGCCACTGGTCGACAGCGACAGCAGGCCCTGGGGAGAAGTAGCGGATGCGCCCGCCGCCAACTCTTCGCCATCCTCCTCCATGTCTTCATCTAACAAGGCACCGGAGTGATACAGCTCCACTGGATCAGTGCAAGATGGTGTTCTGCAGGCACATGGCACAAAGCACAGGGCCTACTTCAGTACACACTAATACACTCACACAAAGCCAGAAGCAGAACAAATAAAAAAAGACGAAAAAGAGTGGAAAGTGTGCTGGTGCACAGCGTACTTTAAACCGTCCAAAGCAGAACAGTGTCTGATCACCGTGCCCAGCAGGAGAGAATTGACAATACGGTATCGCAGTGGCCACACTCGCTAAACACTTACTTGATGAACTTGCACAGGAGTGTAACGAGCGCTTGGGATGAATGTACTATTTCGCTGTCCTCCTCATTGAACGCCTTGGCATTCTTCTGCAGCAAGCGGGCCTCCCAAAGTACCGCAGCCACTCGCCTGCAGAAAGCAAACAAGGTAGAAAGTAAGGATGTGTGCACGTCCAATACACAAGATAGTAGATGTACAGTGTACCGGTAGCTGAGAACCAAGATACTGAGTTACCATTACAGCAAGCAGACTTCCCCACCTTGTCATTGGGAAGAAATTCCCGTTTGGATTTTGCGAAGTAAAAGAAAGTCAAAAAAGAAGAAGATAGAATTACACTATACTCCACTAATTTAGCTACACTACGGCTCACACCAACCAACAAGCTATTGAGTATTGACACAAGCCATTCCTGCAAATCCGGTCTCTCGCTTTTCCGTAGGCATCCACGGGCCGTGTAATTATATAGATACGTGTAGTATTACGTAGAAGTCGAACGTGCTTAAATTCGTCCTGCTGTGGTTTTCGTATGCAGGGAGGAGCATCTACATCTAGAGTGGCCGTTGTCATGACAGCGCCTGCCAGGATGGCAGAACAGTTGAACAACGACAATACGCCACCTACCTGTAGAACGACAATACGCCACCTACCTGTAGAACTTGTGCTTTAGTTTACTGATGATCATGTCCAGACAGGTGGGAAACGCAACGCAGACACAGTACTCCGGATAGGCCTCCCTGTAATCCACAGAGTATGCAAACGGTTGCGCAATGTCCAGCGACTCCTGGACCTTTTCCAGTCCAGCACAGATGCGCGCGCTGGCAGCGTCGGCGTTCTCCGATGCCCAGCACTCTTCCACCTCCTCCTCGCCCGGCAGGATCCAGTTTTGCGCATCAATGCTCGCCTGAATAGAGCCTAGCGAGAGAGGGAGAGAGGGAGGGAGGGGGAGAGAGAGAGTGTGTGTCAGAAAGAGTTGGGGAAAGAGAGGTTATGTCTTCACTGATTGTGTCAATTCAACACATGAAGCACCGAGGAGTACAGAACATCCATAGCAACTCACACCACCACCACTGCACATGTTTGAGCAAGTCAGAATGGAACGCTGCACACTTCATGTGCCATGGGGGGGGGGGGGGGGGGGAGGAAGGGAGAGACAAGAGAGGGAATGTACCGGGCGATATAGCAAGAACGAGTTGCCAAAGAATGGCCAGACTGGAAAAAACTAAGAATGAAACAGGCTACACACAGTGTCCAATACAAACTTGTCAGGGTTTGCGTGTGGTATTCATTGCACTCTATGCTTCAGGCTGATATGCACATAATTATAATCATAGCAGCATTCAACAATCACTTGTCATCGAGTGCGTGAATGCATTCATTTAATATGCACTCCGTGCCCAGCATACTCCCCGATTAAGGACAAGTTCACCTGGTCTCTCCCCCCCCCCCCCCCCCGGGTGTCTGTAAGAAAGTGCTTCCCCTGTATAGTGTGAGTGACAGGGGCAGTGCAGTGCATGGTGTGACTAACTAACAGGGACAATTCACACACACAGTACATGATTGCACACTGGCCATACTTACAAAGTAAACAACTTCAGGCACAACTACAATGGTCCAGGAGCATCACATACACGGCACTTCCCGACTAGTTTCGACCAGAGAAAACCCCGCACTATACGGAAGACCCCATACGGTCATGTGCACGTCAATTGTTCTCAAATTGCAATTGCAGACAAACAAATACTCACCCATATTCATCTCATTGGCCACTGCTGCAGATTGCCTTCTGGTGCGGATGCCAAGACGATTGCCGGAGGCACTGGCACCACGACCACCTACAGCAGCACACAGCAGGCACAAGCATACCATGGTTTAAAAGTTAAAAGTAACTTATATACACACAGGCAGAGCAACAACAAAACACAGCGGGTCACAACAGAGCGCACCTCTCAGATTCCAAAAACAACGCCACTCCTACAAGCCAACACGTCTGCCTGGCATGCAAACACCATGAGGTTACAGTCTGCCACCCTACCTTCTGCTTGAGCACCATCGATCCGCTCCATATCCCATGGACTAAGTAACTCCGTTTCACCACCGTCCCACCTGTTATACAGTCCAGAACACATCATACATGTACGTACCAGCACAATAAACGAGAAATGGGGTGGGGAACACAGTTGGAGGCTGAAAATAGTCGAGTCATAAAGCGAAACACACAGAAACAAGTGAACAGAAAGTCCCGGACTGCGCTTGTGACAGATGAAAAAAATCTCCGGTATCATCATTATTTATTCGGGCACAGGATGTGCATAGTTCAAGGCAGTCCCACTAACGAAATCCACAGACAAAATATGACACTCAGAGCCGTACCGGACGTCGTAGCACTGCCAAAGACTATCGGGATGATCCGCTTGAAACGGCCGCCGTTCCAGAATAGTACCTGTCCAGTACTGGCCGTCAATCATACTCCGAAAATGATCACCTATGCACGGAATATAACAATAACATGGCAGTCAACATACAGTCATTATGCGCCGCTGAAGCCAATTGACTACGACACACGTATAAGGCATGTGGATATGTGAAAGAGAAGAAAGAATAGAGAGGAGAGAGGGAGAGAGAAAAATAAGCTCATCTAAAATAGCAGACCAATACAGGAAAGCACCACCAGAGCAGTAATACATCACAGAGAGTCAGAGACATAGCTGAACCATGCCAGAAAAATAGAAGCTATTTTAAACGAAGACAATCCAAGAGCAGCACAAGTCACCTACCAGCTTTCCACTGACACTCCAGTGCTTCCTTGACTCGAGAGTAGAGCACGATGAAATCAGGAACATTGTCGTAGTCATGATACCTACAAGTTGCAATGTATTTTAAAACAGTAAATACAATAGACGTGAGAAACTGAGACGATAGCACAGAACATGCATGCGCATACGGGCGCCCACTGCGCGTATTAAGTTATTAACCCCACAAAGTACATCATCTCTACAGGTACAATTGTTCTTTTCTGTAATTTCTCCATCGCCTTCCCCATCAAACAATCAAGGTCCATAGTGCGACTCAGGAAAACGCATCAAAACACAGCCATAGCAGACACAGCCAAGCTAACTAGAAAGTACTGTATAACACCTTTATTTCGGTGTAATTTAAATTTCGGTAACTTCGGTACTGGTCCTGGATCACCTAATTTAACATTACACCTAAATTTTCCGAAATACCAAAATATGTAAAAATCATGAAAATCACTGTCAAATTAAAAAAATCAACTAACTTACTTGTATACTGGTATACCGGTAGTACATTGTACATACATAACATGTATACATATGTGGAGCCTTTTGGCCTTGGCGGAGATATTAGTGCTTTTTTTTTTTTTTTTTTTTTCTTTTGGTGCCATGCATACCGAATTTATCCTTACACCGAAAGCTCAGGGGTTGGCTTTTACCGAAATTTTACAACACCGAAAATAAGGTGATATACAGTACATGCACAGAGGGAAAACAACTCACTGGATGGAGAATGTAGAGCGGTCTGGCCGGTTCGGAGCTGAGCTTATGACACCTAGCGTGCACGCAGAGAGAAATGAACAGAAGATAGGTGAATGAAATGCACTGTCAAATCATGCGGCCGAATTATTGTTTTGCAAGGTTCAGTGTGATAGTATATACAGGCGGCAGTAGTACAGGACAAAATTTCAATGGGCCGAAAATGCGTAGACTTACGGTATGCTAGAAAAGCAAGAGCCACACAGTTGCAACCATAGCATTTCAGTATTACAACACTTTGAGAAAATGTGCCTAAGATCATAGGCATAGTTTCAGTGCTACAGATGTCCGGGACAGCCCCATGCCAACAGTACAGCAATGGCAGAAACAACAGGCAGGATTGAGGTCTTCCAAAATGGGTGGTTATCCTAGTGGGCTGGCACAGCAAAAATACAACAGTGTCATTGCAGTGACTGGGGATTATCATCACCACAGTGACAGGCAGTAGAATACACCCAGTACCGCATTGCACGGCTCTAGCACAACAGAACTAGATCTGTACACTCAAACACAACACTACAAGATACTGCTTTGTTCACAAAGGAAAATTCCACTGATCATGACCGTACTTTCTGACACACCATCCCTGGACGACGACGACGAACAACAGCAACAGCAGCAACAACCACAAAAGCAGCAGCAGAAGAGTACGTCAGCGCAGCACTTACGCAGTTTCAGATTGCAGAGAGTCGGCGGGCCAACAACAAAGTGTACGTTCACCACGTAGCACACCTCGTGATCCTACACCATTGGATGCACACACACATGCACACACATACACACACACACATCAGAAGCTGTAGTGCAGAGCATGCGAAGTGAGACCACAGTCACTGGAAATTCCACGATCGGAGCAATTTTCACACATAAACTTGTGCCTTTGTAGCCGAGCCAAAGCATATTATATACATGGCTTGGTGGTTAGAACTTCACAGTGCTGTGGGACCGGATCCGGGTGCCCAAATGTTATCTTATGGATACTAATAGAGTGAACCACAAGAAATCCCCATGCCTAAGTCAGACTTTCACGTACCCGCACTGGGAACTTCTTCTTCGTCCAAGGCAGCATCTTCTTGTCAACACGATGGACATTGTTCTCCGTGATACTGTCGATATAAGACTCGTGGCCTTGCCGGCAATAGAAAATCTGAGACCACAGAAGGAACACATGCACGTAAGGTGGTTGGTTGGATAACGTTAGTCTACCATATTTACAATATCATGTAGAAACTGCCATGTGTATTCCAATAGTTCAGAACATCACCTGTGCAAAATGCACACACAAGTCTGCAGGCACAAGTCTTGGCGCATACTAGTGCGAGAGTATGTACGATATAAATCGGGTACCATCAAGCTCTGAACTCCCACCCTATCCAACTGCCCGTATCCTACATCAGACATGAGCTTTCACCCCTGGAAGGGGTGTACGTTTATTTCTATCACTTCGGGCATGATTCCCGTACAAGTTGTACTCTGTATGCCACAATACTGGCCAAGAAATATTTACATACGACATGCCGAGCATGCCTCGAGACACGGCAAAAGTACCGGCACATGTCACACCTGCTCCCATCTGCTAAGAACATACATGTACGAGTACATGCAGGTGAGGATCTAAAAGTTAAAGACTAAAACACTGCACGGTACACTGCACGCTGTGTAATCATACAGTTTTCTAGTCGCATTCCACACTAACTAGCATGCCTCACCTTGTCGCCTTGCTGCGGGAAATATGGCTGAGGTAAGGGCTCCGTACTTGTTATCCAGTTCGATGGCCAGAAGCGCTGTAACTCTGCAGGATCGACCTGAACGAGTGAGTGTGTGAGAGAGAGAGTGAGAGAAAGGCTCTGATGAATCGATTGACACCAAGGCTGAAGCTCCAGCTGCAGTGCTGCTGAGTGGCACTAGGACACCCAGAGCAACAGTCGCAAGTACACTGTTCAGGTCATTGTGATGATGGGGGGCGGTCTTTGAATACGTGTTGGATTGATATAGCAGGCGCGTAGCACCGCCGTTGAAGGTGGTCCGGTTGGAGGGGGGTCTGGGGGTGTCCCCCGGGAAAATTTTGAAATTAGGGTGCAAAATCCTGCATTCTGGGCACTTCTGGGCGAAAAAGTGGTCCGGCTAACGCCGGACCGGCTGCTACGCCCCATGTATAGCTCATTGTTTCTGTTTCGCTCTAACCCAGAGTACATGTATTTCTTTGAGCTGTCCATGTACTTCAGAATAAGTATAACAGTACATGTACTATCCTATAGTTAAACTGTGCACAAATAATCAAAGGGTTACACACTGCATGCAACAGGAATGTTAGCAACTACACATTCAAACACCGACCTGTCGAACCGGTTCCTTCTTCGGAGGAGCTTTCTTCTTCTTTGCCGGCCGAGAGGATGCTGTTGCATTTTGAGATGAGGCAGCCTGCGCCTGCCGTTCAGACTCTGCAGCGCGGCGTCTGTGCAAGACAGAGGAAAAGACATAAAGAAATGCAGTCCTGTCTTGTCAGCACACGTAGTGAAGGTAGTGAAAACGTAACACCACCGAATGTTGTAAGTTGGTATCCCTTGGTATACCGGTATCTTTTTCTATCCTCACAGCCTGCGTGTTAAATCAAGTACTCGCTTTCAGACCCAACGGCCGGTCGTAGCGGTCTCGGCCTCATTGTTAGATTAGCTTGTCGACGCAAGTTGACGTAAATCTCTCTAAATCTGCCTGTCTGTCTGTTTGCCAGTCTCTGTCTATCTGTCTGCCTATCACCCACCCACACATGTGCTCATGGCCACTACACCCATGCACTCAAAAGCACTATAAGTAGTAACTAGCTGTACCAGTGCTAGTACAGTGGCATTATCTTACCTGGCAGCAGCACGTGCAGCTCTTGCAATGCCGGCATCTTCGGACCAGTCAGAGCAATCGCTCTCCTCCATACTGAACACGCACAAGAAGTAAATACAACACACCCAAAAAGAAATTCAAAAAGCAAAAACAAATCTCAAGTTTTCAGCATGCAAACACCGTAATGCGATACATGTAGCACTATCCGGATTACCGGCACACCGCTTGGTCGGAAACCAACGACCAAAACAGTGGCAGCAACAGATGCATCAAGGCATTACAGAAACAAAACAAGTCACTTAGCAGTCGAACAGTTCTGACTTGCTACAAAACGGTAGGTTACCTGGACGACGAAGAGCCACTCATCTCGTCCAGGCTTATGTGTACATCACTGTCATCACCGTTGTCCGAGCCGCTATCCCCCCGGCTGCCATTGTTGGCTGGAATCGAGCGATTGCTGTCCGAGCGGCTGCTGAGTCGATAGCCCGGCGCTGCCTGAGCATTAGCTGGGCCGTTGGCTCGCGCCCTGCGGCGTGGCGGTGGCTGTCGCGGCGTGGCCTGAATGACATCGATCTGTGGCACACCCAATGCAGACCTGTTGCCGGTGATCTCCGTGCGAGGTCCGCCGAAAACGCCGGGCTGCTGGTTTAGAAAGGAGCTGCCTTTGAATAAGGTCACCCACGGACTATGTCCACTTGAAGAAAACTACAAATAGGGAAACAGAGCAAAAACAACACAGAGAAAAAGGTAGGTTGACACATCAAAAAATCATCATGCTCACAGAGTACAGTCATGTTTCAAAATGTGACGTGCCACTTAGCAAAGATAGTGGGATGGGAGGGCCGATGCTGCGCAAGCACATGCATCACACACAATCATAAATGAAATGGAAAACCAGAACTTTCAGCGGCTTTTCAATATAAATAACTTTGTTACAGGCAAATAATACCGTAACTAAACGATACCCAAAATCTGTACCAGTGGAGTGTAAAATACTGTTAATCCATTCAAACGTAGGCTCCAAGTGTTTTCATACCAAAATGCACCGCTTTTGAACCTGTACGGTTTGGGAAATACATAACAGTCATATTGATATTACGCCACTGAACCTTCCAGGCTTTACTGTAACACAGAACTGATCATGGAATCACAAGGATTGTAAATGCGTGTGTACGTAGGAGGTTAAGCGGGCCAAAACTGCCACTGTGGGTACGAGTGATTTGTGTTACCAGTGTAACGGAATACACTGTACAAAACACCGCTATTCCCTAGTAAGGACATGCAGCTTGTGGCCATTGCAGCCACAATCAATGGGCTGGCAAGCAGAAGATAGAACCCAGGCCCATAATTATGTCCATTAAGAATCCTTACCGGAAGGAATGATGACTGCTTCAGGCCAATCAGCCTCTTAAGCTCCTCTTCTCCAAGAGCCACTCTTCTCTCTTCTTCCACCCTGTCACACGGAAATCAAAAAGAAGAAACGAACTCCCCTATCACAATATGTATTACTTACACCACGAGCACACACGCAAACAAGCAAGCACTATAGCGTTGATGCCGGCCTCAAAAAGACCATCGCTAGGGGTTCACAATCGCCACTACTTTTGACAGAAGTCAAGAGAGAACAGAGCAGAAGGGAGTACTGGTGTATGTCAGCCAGGGTCAGTGTGAGTAGATAATATGCATGTCTACTTCAGTACTTGTGTGTTCAATAGACAGAATGAGAGGATTCACACTCACCGCAGAGTGGCCTTGTCCAGTGGAGGAGCAGCCGGCCGCTTTTTCCAGTGTTCCAGTAACACATCCACGCTTGGACAGTCGGTGGCCGCCTTGTGCAGCAGAACAGCAGTATTGGCAGCATGTTGCTGACGAACATAGCGCTCAGCCATGGAGGTGGCACGCTGTGCATCTGTTTGCTCGGCTTCAGACTCCTCGTCATCGCCGTCACCATCGCCGTTCTCATGCATACCGACCCCAGCAGCGGCAACTGCTGCAGAGGCAACACCAGCAGAGGCAACAGCTGCAACAGGAGCGAGTGGTATTGCAGGAGCAGCTTGGTTGAAACTTGCAGTTGCTGCTGCAGAAACTGGCTGCTGTGAGTCGGGCACGCTTGTTGACGTATCCATAGGCTCTTCACCAGTTACATCAGTAGCAGCAACACCAGCAGATGAAGGAGCAGAGGCGGCGGCGGTGGCAGTACTAGGTGACAGGGACGTTACTGTAGGAGTATCACTGGCAGAAGCAGCACTGGAAGCAGCGGCAAGTCGATTACGATCCATACTGCCCGTAGACGCATAGTCCACCGCAGCATCACGAACAGCCACTGCATCTGCTGAGCTAGCAGGAAACTCTCGAACCGGGCTATTTGCACATAGTGGATGGACTAGCGCAATGGGCAATTCACCCGGTGTCACAGCATGACTAGCAGCGGATGAAGCAGCAGCAGCTGTAGTGCTAGCAAAGGGAGTGGTGGCGGCGACTGCATCTCTGGCCATAGTGTTTCCCAGAGCTGGAGAGGTGTTATGTGAAGTGTTGCTGCTACACACGGTAGCACTGATGACAGCAATGCTACTGTTACTACTGCAGACCTGCTCCATCGGCTCCCCTAGTGCAGACACAGGAGTTGTGCCACCAGCAGCAGCACCGGTGGTGGTGGTAAAGCCTGACAGTGGCGGGACACTGCCGGGCTGCGCTACACCAGCCATAGGCGGGGGCGAGCGTAGAGCTCTCATTGGCGTTGCTGCACGGCGTGCTGTTCCATCACCAGTGCCGGCGCTCACCGAGCTACGACTACTCACCACCGGCGCAGATTGCAACGGCAACACAAACGAGTCCAGCATGCTACCGGAGCGAGGAGCAAGAAGTGGAGTGACTGCCGACCCTGGTGTGGCAGGTGCAGCAGCCGTAGCAGAGGGGGTGGTAGCACTGTCAACACGAGTGGCACTGCTTGGACCAGGCGGAGGAGGGGACAATACACCATCAAACTCCCCGCTGACGATTGACATCGAACGTCGACGCTTCGAAGGACCTTGATGCAGATCGTCTTTAAACGGGAACAAGCCAGAAAGCTCATCGTCCTCAGACTCCTCTGAATCGGTGAGATCGTGATTGGCCTTCCGTGCTGCGGCGTACGCCTCCCGCTCCCGCTTAAATCGCTGTTCACGTGCCTGCCTCTCGGCAACCAGGACCTGGCGACGCGCGTGCACCTCGGGCCATGCAACATCGATGCCCTGGTAGAGTTCTTCCTCACTGCACTCCTTCTTTGCTACCGCAACAACGGGTCGTACATATCCTGTTACCAGGCGTTGGAGTTCCGGCGGGTACGGATTGCAGTCCATGTTCACCAGATACGGCGGAGGCATAGCATGAGGAGGAAGCTCAGTCTAACAGCACAAAACACACACACACACACACACACACACACGTGTGGGCACCCATGAGCACAGACATAGACAAGTACATAGCCAAATGAACATTTTTAAATAGTAAAACCCACCCGAACTAGGGGTTTAAACACTGGGAAGACAACCCACTAGTATTAGACTGAGGTACAGCACAGTATTCTAGCAGGCTACATACTAGGCAAAGCAACAACAACAAAAGGACAAGAAAGGGGAAAAAAGCATAGGTTGGTGACCTCCCCAGACAGCAGCTTACCTGTTCGTCTAACACATGATTGTGAATATCACGCACGAGCGGGTGGTAATCTGTGTGGAAGAACTGCTGATCAGGAACCTGTAGGCATGGATAAACAGGCAGACAGACAGAATTGGCAGTGTCTTGCAGGCGATTACATAAGTGAACAAAGACAATTCCTTGAACCCCGTTCAGTGTAAAGAAGCTCTGCCTACTGTGTAATATTGTTTCAATTCAACACCAAACAAATCAAAGACTACTAGCCAACTGCACTATCACTACAAATGTACACCAATACAGCTGGTCCTATGTTCGATTGGTTGGCGGCTAGATATTGCTTCTCACCACAGCAAGCCTCTGTATTCGCAGTTGCATATTTTGTATTGCTTTAGTTGCCTCTTTCATTTCAACTTAAGTGCACTCGCACACGCACGTGCACACACGTGTACTTCGAAGTACAGTCGAATGTCACTTATCCGGTCGCCAGTTATCCGAGCACGTCGGTTATCCGACAAGCCCGTGAGTAATAATTTTATGATTCTCAACAGTGAAATTCTATTTTTTTGTTGTATATAATACAACCCAACAGTACGCTTGTACGTGAAATATAAACCGACATACAAACCGAGGCGAAGCCGAGGTTTGTATGATGGTTTATATTTCACGTACAAGCGTACTAGTGGGATGTATTATACTTATGCTGACCTTCATACAAACTGACAGTCAACTTCTTCCTGTTTCTATGGTGGCGGTCTATATGGGGTTTGTATGAGGTTTATATGCCCAGTATAAGCCGCCAGAATGATGGGCAAGTTGACTGGAAGTTTGTATGAAAGGTAAGCATAAGGTGTAATATGCATTTACTTGAAAAAGTTGAAGTAGATGTGGTCAAGTATGCTAACATGGATGTGTACATGGAGCAATTCATGACTATGCATGAATATATTTGGGTATTGTGTACTCAAATCTGTGGACAGCAACTGTTTCGCTCTGTTAGAGCTCCTCAGCACAGCTCAGAGGACCGAAGCGTGTGGGTATTGTGTACATAAATCAGTGAAATCCAGCCATATATGCACATCAAAAATGATATCAGTTATCCAACATATTCAGTTATCCAACATATTCAGTTATCCAACATGCCTGATTCCCGAAGTGGTCGGATAAGTGACATTCGACTGTACATACACTAGCACCAGCGAGAACGCCATGCCAGACTATTCCTTACCTTTTCAAAAGCCTTGGTGTCTGGCACACCGAAAAAGGACACTTGGCCTTGACTATCACAGCAGGCCATGGACAGTCCATCCGGTGAGAACTTGCAGTCAAATACAGACGCCACACCATTGCCGTGATACTAACAACACAACACACAGAAATACAACAACAACAAAATTTAATACCGTAAAGTCGCGGATAAAAGCCGGGTTTGCATACAGTAAGATCGGGCGCCGAAGAACGCAGGGGCTCGAGCGCAGCCTAGGAAAGTTCTTAAATTTTTGATTCTAGCCAGACCGTTCTTATTCACACGCGCGCGGCGAGTCGAGTGACGTCATGACGTTTGTCATGTACATGTACATGTACAAGTACATGTAGTGCAATGTAGTACTTCTAAACTAGTGGGTGTCGTTAATGGGAATGACTGTACATGTAGCAGTTACTGTTTACACGTGTACATGACATGTACTCACCTCCCATACATGTACAATGTAGACATACGTACAATGTAGATCTAGTGTTCTTAAATCTGATAATTCTAGCCTGGACTGTTCTTAAATTTTGCCGGTTTTCCAGCCTGGGTGTTCTTCGGCGAGGTGTTCTTCGGCGCCCGATCTTAGTGTACAAGCACATCGCGGATAGAAGCCTGAAAATCAAACGGGTCAATGCATATAAGCCTGTCGCGCGTAGAAGCCTGGCTTCTATGCAAGCGCGGATCGAGTAGGTCAAGAGTGCTTGCGCTATGTACAGTGCATAGTAAAACTGCCGCCATACCGGTAGTCAGTGGTAATTCTACGCATGTTGCGCGTAAAAGCCTGGCTTCTATGCAAACCCGGATCGGCCGATGTGCACACAAGCCTGGCAAAAATATCAGTGGTGCATATAAGCATGGTTTGCATACAAGCCTGGTTTGCATTGAAGCCTGATGCAGAAAGCGGCTTATGTGCTTATAAGCCCGGCTTTTATCCGCGACTTTACGGTAGTCTAGTTGCAGAATTATTCACCACACAGTCGTCTCCAGTCCTTGACTACACTGGTACAAATAGATTTCTTTCAATTGTTTGCCCAGGGTTATTATGGCATCATCCTTGTGTTAGAGCAGTGAATTCATGGATACTAGGAGAAGAGGTCTCTTCTTACGGGGAAAACCAAACAACTGCAGAAAGGCAACTGAGAGCACGGCTGTTATGTACAGTCGATGCGCGGCAGCTTAGCTTTCTGCACGTGCACCATTCATGACCCGTGCACACTCATACATAATCCATAACCACCTGTGAAGCAATTTCACAAAGTTTGAGATATCGATCTGTTCTAAGTCCCAAACACAGTCCTAAAGTTAGCAAACCACGCTGGTTATCGCTGGCTATCGGGACTTTAGTTCTTGGAGTCGCCAACTGAGCACTCACTTGTTGTTTGAGAGGTTTCTTTGTGTCGTTCTTGTGTTCTCCTTGTTTTGGGACGTGAAAAATTGTTGATGATCTTCGGTGGTGTATTTGAGAGATTGCACAACGAAGCAGGCATGTGGCGATAGGATCGCTGGGAACGTTGATCTTCGTAAAAGGTAACTGAAGTAGTTTTATTTTGTGGCGGTCGGCCAATTTTTGTGGCGGCCGTGGCTGCTTTTTCGCTATAATTATGTTGTAATTGCAGTGCTTTTGAACCATGATGAAGCACGATCACTCTTAGTTCGTTGTGTAGGGTTCGTGGTAGAAAATAGAGCTGTCCAACCAGGTAGATCTATTTGCACGTTTTTCTGTGAGATCACATCATAGATATTCTTGAATGTTTCAAAGTTGACTTGTATGTGTAGAATGTGTAATAGACTCACTCCAAGTTGATGAGTATTGTCCTGGTTGTTTAGTGCCAGCTACTCTTTCTTCCTTCACAACTCCTCATCCTATAATTGTATCTTCTCTACCTTTTCTTTAAGTCTCCTGCGACTTTGCCTCCGATAAACCCCTTGCTGGCTGCAGTGACTTCATTACTTGATGAACTGCAAGACCATTGTAAAGTCTGTCCCTGTCGTACTCCATGTTCTCTTCCTCCACCTTCTGTAGTCACAGAAACTGCCAGTGTGAAGGATGTTCTCTCCGCCTCCCGTCTCACCGTCTAAGTTAAAGGGAAGAGTATACGATAGGCTCCTCGGCCGTGCAATGGCTGTTACTGATGAAGGTGGGAAGATTTTGCAGAGAGCACGCGGGCAGCCAATAACTTGGCTGCAGCAAACCCCTGCCAGGAGAGCGTCCAGCGACTCAGGTGAAAGGACGCTGAGAAAGAGAAGGCGGGATTTAGAAAAGGTGAGGCAGGTTGCGGCAGGTGGGCCACAGGGCAGCCTTGCCCAGAAGGCCAGGGATCTCTCTGCATTATCGAAAACTGAAAGACACACCTTACTTCCGGATGTTAAATCAGGAGAAGCTGGAAAGGACAGATGATAACACAATGCAAGTGTCAAATACCAATCAGGCGAAGTGGCGAAAAAGTGAGCAATGTCTGGTGACCACGAATGAGGCAATTGCTTCTCTGACTGCTGGTCTTGATAAGTCTCCTCGGTCTGAAGGTGACTAAGGTCAATCAAGTGCTGTCTTTCAAACAAGAGCCATGGATGCAACCTTACATCGACAAGAACACAGAGCTTAGAACCTACATGCACACATACATGTAGGTTTTTAATGGCCCGTGCTTTTCTTCACTGGAGGTAGTCTGGCAGAAAAACAACATAGAACGACAAGCGTATCACGGAGGAGCATTTGTTGGGAACCATGTTCATTCTGCACTCCAAGAAAAAGATACTAATGACCTTTCAGGTGCTGCTTTTCAAGTAGTGCAGCATCATACTCAGAACGGTAAGATTTCGCAGGAAAATCGTGATGCAGTGGTGGAGCAGGCAGAGCAATTGGCTTGTCGGTACTCTTCCATAATGAAGACTTACGCCAAGGTTAGGAAAGTATTTAGTAGTACTTCAAACATAAGTGTGTCCTTGCTGAATGAGACAGAAGAGAGCATCAAATTCTTTACGCAGCTTGTCAGGAGTGAGATATGCGTCAGACAGGGACGAACAATAACTCCCAAATTGCATTTGTTAGAAGATCAGGCTGTACCTTGTTTGCAACATTTTAATATAGGGTTGGGACGTTTAGGAGAACAAGGTGGTGAATCACACCACCATCAGTTCAAGGACCTGGAACGTAAGTTTGGCTCTATCAAAACAGCAAAGGAGCAGCTCAAAATTATAACAAAACAACACCCCACCTTGACCAATATCTCTCATCACCACTTGATTCCACAGCCAGCCACTTGGAGGAGAAAATCTAGGGATGCCACAGCTGAAAGTACTAATACTTGAGTTCTACACTACGGCGGCGTTGTTTGTTTCTGAAGAGGATAGAGTCGTGAATCTTGAGTTGATCAGTTGATTTGAAAGCCTTCGTTGAGGAGCTGTTGTGCTCGATCGATTGAGTACACTGGTGTTGAGCGCGGGCGAGGAAGGGTTGACAGTCACTTCAGCGCCGAAGTAATTATCAGCTCTCCTTCCTTTAGTTTTCTAGTCCATCAGAAAGGACCAACGGTCAAGCAAGCAACCCTAAAACGTAAAATTCTCTTCTACATTTGACTGCTGTTTTACAAAGTTTTACAAACATGACTCTGCTAGAGTCTCACACGAACCAATATCTTTTTACATTTTTTATATATTTTTTACAGAAATGCCAATCTACAGTGCATTTCAAAACTATAGACGCGTAGGGTTTTTGAAATATTTCAAATTTGGCTGGAACTTTTTGAGAATAGTTTTCGGAATATTGCTCAGGATCGCTCCACAATTACTCTCATATAGTTTCTAAAGGATTGGATAACAGACGCCCAATTTGGAAAAATTTATGCACAAAGTGATCACAGATTTTATGTGGTATAGATGCTGGCATAACGGTTTTTGCCTAGGTACGCGTCTATAGTTTTGAAATGGACTGTAGCTCGAGCATGAGATCATGTCAAATTATGAAAACATGCGAAAATCATGGGCCAAAACACAGCCAGCTAGGTTGCGACTGGTCGGCCGAGCGCGGACGTGCCCTGATCACCATGACAGCGCCGGTCACTTCCGAATCGCCGCCATCTTTCTAAGGTGCCGCTTCTCGACAGCCGTGAGAGCTGATGACTTGATGGTGATGATAAAATGTAGAACAATAATAAAAGCACCACCACCACCACCCAAACACTTCCATACGGCACCTACCCGATTTTCAAAGCGCTTGATCATTGTACCCGTGCAGAGATTCCAGAGAGCTATGACGCCATCATGGCCTACGCACAAAAAGCACACGTGAAAAGCACACCATCTAGTCACACCTCCGTTACACCATACTGCTATCAGATTGAGGGCCGGGAAACATTTCTTTCATCTTCTCCTCTCTTCTCATGGCTGACTGACCCCCCCCCCCCCCCCCCATTCACATTGGCTGTCGCCAGTGAACGGCGAACGAAATAAAACCCCATAACACACGTACAAGACCATGCAATGGTACTGGTATGTGGTACTATACTGGAGAAGTGCACCTGCAAAACGCACAGAAACCAAAGCAGTAGAATACAATTCCGAGGTATCATCATCAACAGTAGCAACAATTACATGAAGAAGACCAGTGGCAGTGCTCACCTGCACTCATCAGTATACGCTCGTCTATGGGATGTGCCTCCAGGACAAACACTACATCCTCATGACCCTGTGCAGGACGAAAAGAAAACAATCAAAACAACGATATCACAACACGCTACTTGTACAGGCAACTGTTCACAAGTAGCGACGGTGGCGGCAGCAGACATACAATTCCAAACAACCCAGAAAAGGCAGAGCCGGCCTTACACAAAAGTAGACAATCAAAACCGTGCAACTCGCATACACCAGTATGCCACACATGTACAGAAGCCCTCCCGTCGTCACGGTGCTTGGATGCCACTGCACAGTCGCAGGTCCTCTTGACAAGCAGTTCAGTTGTGCTGATGCGCACCAGCAGTGGCTGAGTGTACACACATAATAGATCATAACGAGAGAAATCGCCAGCACCAGGTCCAGTGCAATGCTTACCCGCATTTCATGAATGAGCACTCCGGTATCGGGATTCCACACTTTCAATATGGTGTCATTCGAAGCAGTGATGATGTGTTCATCAATCAAATCCCACGCAACCTACACAGGGCAATTCACATACAAACACCACATGCATGTACTATTCACTGGGAACCACACAATAACATTTGTAGAGGAACACACACAACGAGTTTGAGTTCGTGAAAACACACGCCTTGCAGTGCAGCACACACACACACACGCACGCCTCATTCCCAGCAGAACACAACAAACGCGTAACAATAGGACATGTACCACACACAACAGTTATTCTGGTGAGGGGTGGTTGACAGTGACAGTGACTAACCATGGTGACGTTGAGCTTGTTGACCTTGGGTGCCACAGAGCTGTACAGCAGGTGGTATGATCACAGAGTACACAACAGTCAGACAGTACAGCAGTGACAGTTACTAGTAATCAAGATCTCCAACGCACACACACGCACGCACGCACACACGCACGCACGCACGCACACACACACACACACACACACACACACACACACATATACACACACACACACACACACACACACACTCTCTCTCTCTCTCTCTCTCTCTCTCTCTCTCTCTCTCTCTCTCTCTCTCTCTCTCTCTCTCTCTCTCTCTCTCTCTCTCTCTAACGGAATAACCAACTACCAGTAAGTGAGGTTGGAACAGAATGAACAGATGCATAGAAAATTCCATCATCCCTTCCTTGCCAGATGTATGTAACATATTCGGAATACAATGTTTTTGGCCATAAATGTGAACAGGCGACCCGGCCCGACCCGTAAACATAAGCCGGGGCAAAGTAGGTATACTGCGTATAGCAAACACCACCACTCAAGATGAAGACCGGAGCACCAGTCAATCAAGTCAACTTACTCGGCTAGTCGTGTGTGCATGGACAAGACGACGCACTTCCAGTTGCTGCCCGTGTGGCTCCAAATGCGAGCACTACCGTCGCGGCCACCGCTGACAAATCTACGAGAACAGCGAGAGTGGAAACGGGGCACAACATGCAAGGATAAGTTCAACTCAAGGTTGATCCGTGAAGTTGGAAACGAAATAATTCAACGCATACTTAACGCATACATTTAACAGGCTGTTACTGTACGTGTACAGCCAAACACAGGGCTCCACTCACTTGACTAGTAGAAGGCATCCAGCGCTGATTCAAATATGTGTAAAAATAAAGTTGTTCTGAACAGCATCGTCGGTGGATAAAGAATGGAGGGCTCTGGGCGGTGGCATGAGCCAATAGGGAGTCGACGGCGATGAGACAAGGCGATGAGGTGCCGGTGAGAATAACTGTTAGTGGTGCTAGAATGGCGCAAGTTAAATACGTGTGATGAACACAAGCATCACTGCCTGTCTCAATGTGGTACACCTATTCACCTTCCACCAAGGGGCTCTGAACTACAAATGTAATGCTGAGCTCACCTGTTGCCCTTGTGAGCAAATTGAACAGTCTGGACACGGTCCTGCAAGACAAATCACCATATCAAACCAAAAAAAACAAAAAACAAGTATGTTACCACAATTACAGGTAAATCCACAATTATAGAGGTACGGATCAACATGAGCATACTCGTGCATTGCACGTACAAATTTCTCAAAAATCCTCTCAATCTCATTATCCAGTTGGCAAAACAAATCTGGTTTTCTTAACTAAATAGCAACCCCGCTGAACACCACAGACCTAGGGCCTGCTTACAGGGTACTGTAAAAGCCATATATATAACGAAGTGCTAACTCTAACGAGTTAAAGGGGAAGTTAAGGCAAAAATTAAAATTTCACCAGTTGTAGTCTTCGGGGTGCTGAGTCGAATGGTCTTGGTCCGAGGAAGCTGAGACGCTCCCTTCCTACTTGAATCCCAATCGAACTCGCGCACTTCCACCGAAACTGGGTGACTGCGCCCTACGAGATGGGGATTTGTATGCAAAATGTCACTAAAAGCGCCATTTCGTTCTTATAAAAGCACGGATGACCGCGATTGGCCCATATGTTGTAGTCTTTTGGACACTGAGTCGACTGGTTTTGGTCCGAAAAGGCTGCGATGCAGCGTTCCGCCTTTATTCCCAATCGAACATGGTTGAACAAGCGGTCACGTGCTCCTGCGTACGCCAGTCACCTGGTCACCGTGCCTGCAGGGTACAACTTACTAGCCTGTTTGACCTTTTTTGGGTGCAGTCCTGTCACTCGAGTTGAACTCGAGTTGAACCTTGGTGTGAAAATTGTCACCTGCTGGCGTGGTGACCAGGTGATTTGGGCACCCAGGAGCACGTGACCACTTGTTCAACCATGTTCGATTGGGAATAAAGGAGGAACGCTGCATCGCAGCCTTTTCGGACCAAAACCAGTCGACTCAGCGTCCAAAAGACTACAACATATGGGCCAATCGCGGTCATCCGTGCTTTTATAAGAACGAAATGGCGCTTTTAGTGACATTTTGCATACAAATCCCCATCTAGTAGGGCGCAGTCACCCAGTTTCGGTGGAAGTGCGCGAGTTCGATTGGGATTCAAGTAGGAAGGGAGCGTCTCAGCTTCCTCGGACCACGACCATTCGACTCAGCACCCCGAAGACTACAACTGGTGAAATTTTATTTTTTGCCTTAACTTCCCCTTTAACGAGGAGAAATCTGTCGTTAAAATAGAAATCGTTATACAGAAATCGATACATATACTGTACTATTGAGCGTTGAGAATGAGTGAGAATCGTTACCTTTGGTACACGTAAACTAGTCAATTTTGGGAAATCGTTATATATGCGCCTCGTTAGAATAATGGCTTTTACAGTACCCTATGTGAATACGAAGAGCGTGACAAAACTGCAAATAAGAGGAGCAAGAGCGAATATCAGTTGGGAGGGCATTCCAGCGGTCTAGAAAGTTCCTTCCTGGGGAACGAAAGGATATGACCAGAATTGTGAAAAGAAGACAAGTTGGTACAAGGAAGAATAATATGAAGGAGTGATGCAATTCTTGTACATTGCAGAGCCAGGACACTGAGCCAACAACTCAATCCACAGCTACCTACTGGGCTGCGACGTACATGACTACACATTACATCTGTAGTGATAGGGATCAGACAGTACAATCAGTCATGCGCTGCCTGAACCGTGGACCATACAACTTACTGTGTGGCCATCCAGTTCAGCCAGGCGCTCCGGTGGACCGGGCTGGGACTGGTACAAACGCACAACGTGGTCAGTTCCGCCGCAAACCAGCAAGCACCCACCTACACACACACCAAGCAAAGAGGAACCACGGACACAGTCCACACACAAACAATCACACCAACAGCCGGCGGCACTGTCCGCAGGAACACTAACATTCGCGGTGTACATCTACATTGTATCTGCCGCGCAAACATTGATAATTCCAGCAGCAAGGTGCAGTGAGGCGAATGAAAGAAACCCGTGAGAGATCCATTCAATGCTATCTATTATCTACATGTAGCGCTACTTCACCATTCCCAGCCCTAACTGTAGCCTACCTTTAGCCCTAACTACAGTAGACTCGTACGCCCAAGAACGTCCAGGCTGGAAATCTAAGAACGCCCCAGCCTGGATTTAAGAACGAACTCCAAGATTTTTAAGAAGGCGACATTTTTTGGTATTGAAAAATGAAAACATCACCCAGTGCAGTGCAGCGCTACATACTACACGTGCATGTAAAGTGTACAACCGGTACCAAGAGTACATAAACCGGTTTATGTACTCTTGCCGGTACATGTAGCACAAAGTGCATTGTACATGAGCGTCACGGGTCATGTTGGACGCGTAAGAACGCGAAATAAGAACGTAGCCTGGGGCGCTGAAAAATAAGAACTTTGCTAGGCTGGCCCTCTGAAACAGCGTTCTTGGGCGTACGAGTCTACTGTAGTAGAGCTCATTCTTACCCACCCACTGTACATGCAGAAAAATTAGGCAGCGAATAATTTCACCTAACTCAAAAGAAAGGCAGTTTGTCCGGTTGAAATTTTCGTCCATGGATGGAATTTAGTCTGAAAACTCTTTCAACAAAATGAAGAAAATATGTTCCAGACGAATACTAGTACAATCATGTATTTCTGCTCATACGGTGTATACCTGATCACTCCGTGCCCACTACGGTCCACCACTTACCGGCACTGAATGAGGAGCACAAGATCTGATCACCAGGCTTGCCTCGCTCCACAAACTTCGTGGGATTGAGGCTTCATGCCCAAAACACACACACACACACACAAAAACACACACACACATCACAACGTGTAACAGAGTCTAATTTTACGGGTTTTCCTTCATAAAAAAAATTAAAAGGCAAGAGCTATACACTGGAAAACAGTGCTAGAAGACAAGCCAACAAACAGGATGGAAAAAATCAGCAACTACATTACTAAAAGCTAGTGGTGAAACGAATATCAAAACCCAGTAGCCGAATATTCTTTGGCTTAACGAACGAACGAATATTCTTTCGTTAACACAGATGACATCACACGCCCTCCTCTCAGTCATTTTATTGGATATTGTCACTATTATTAGGCATGACAAACGAAGGCGCATATTTTCCATCATTTCTAGGTCAATTTTCACAAAATCCCCAGCTGAAGTGCATGTTACACGCTAAAAACCCCAGCTTGAGACGTTATTTTCGTTCGACCGCCATAACTCCATTCCAGGACCTCGGATCGCGTTCGGGTTGCTTCGAGACGACAGCTGAGAGTTTTCTAATGCCGATAGACCTTTCGATGAAGTGATTCGGTCAAGTATTCGCGAAGTTACGGAAGTTTGAAGTCGCCCGGTAAACTCTGCATACTGGGTTAACGAATATTCGCCATGAGAAATATTCGTTCGAATCTGACAAACCGAACGAATATTCGAATATTCGGTACACTCGTTTCACCACTACTAAAAGTAAAAGCTTACCAAAACGTGAACGATGTTGGGTTGTACTCCCAGAAGCAGACATTTCCATCAGCGCCAGTGGAGACCAGATATCTGTGACATTCCAGTAGCATATCAATCATACATACAAGTCAAAGCAAACACACTGGCACATATAATAGCAATTAAAATAATGGAGTCATACTGAAATACACATGCTCACCAATACCGGTAGGTGGAGTGAAATGAAAGCTAGCACAACATTGACGATAGAGATACCACCACCACCAACGTCCACAAACTCGCACACGTGTACATATGTCATATGTGCACACACACAACTTATACAGAGAGAGAGAGAGAGAGAGAGAGAGAGAGAGAGAGAGAGAGAGAGAGAGAGAGAGAGAGAGAGAGAGAGAGAGAGAGAGAGAGAGAGAGAGAGAGAGAGAGAGAGAGAGAGAGAGAGAGAGAGAGAGAGAGAGAGAGAGAGAGAGAGAGAGAGAGAGAGAGAGAGAGAGAGAGAGAGAGGAGAGAGAGGAGAGAGAGGAGAGAGAGGAGAGAGAGGAGAGAGAGACACACACACACACACACACAGATACACACTGCATACCGGATTGCTCGGCTAGGGTACGGGCAGAACTGGAGAGATGTAATGACACCGCTGTGACCCAGCAGAACAGCAACCGGTGCCCGGGTTTGTAGATTCCATACTCGAATCACCTGCACACCAAATGCCAAAGGAATCATGACCAATCACCAAGGTACTATACAAGAAAAGAGAACATTGACAAGGACTCCTCTACCGTCAACAAAGCCAAGCTCGCAGTGATCGCATGCAATAAAAACCTCCCAACAGACAAAAAGGAAATATACATTAGTATAGAAGAAGGGGGCACATACTCGGGCACACACTCAGACATACTACTGTAGTATACTCGAGCACACCATCCAAAGTATTATCCAAACATAGGATGACACATTTGCTTGGAACAGCAGACAGAGCAGTGCATGCATCTGAAGCTGATGGCCAGATCACACGGAACAGAGTGCACATACCTTATCACAGCCACCACTGGCAATCAACCGGTTCTCCAGGTCAACAGCTATGTCCGCAACCTCACTCTGATGGCCACGCAGGGTGGACACCAGGCGGCCATCGTGTGCTGACCAGATCTTCAGCAAGCAGTCGTCAGCTCCCTGCACATGGCAGCAAGAAGAAGAAAAAAAGTACAATATGAGTATTTATGACCGGGCTGCAGGCAAACTATACGACTGGTCACTGGGCAGCGTGCTTGGCAATGGCTGCATTCATAATTGGCACCTCTATACAGAATGCGTGCAGTTCATACATGACTGGAGAGGGTAGAGCAACGGGAACACGGTGAAAAACACATGCTGCATGTTCAGTGCATGCATTACAGCAACACGCTTGCCAATATATATATATATCCTGAAGAGAGTAGGTGAAGTGAAAAAAACAAGTGAAATCTCTCACAAGTGACTTACAGTGAGGACACGAGTACCAGTGCGGTCATAAAGTACGCAGTAGGAAGCACACAAGTGGCCCATCAGTCGACGATACTGCCAGAGCAAACGGCAAACAAGAAGCGGAGACATCAAAAGCAATGTAGTTGTACAGAATACGCCATTTCTGTACACAGGCAGGCATCAAGATAGGGCATATGCATGCGCTAGGTCACGCACGCACACAGACATAAACACATAAACACACACACACACACACACACACACACACACACACACAGAAGCAAAGCATGTATTGCCGCGAACTACTGTTGACCCCCCCCCCCCCCCCCCCCTCTTTGTGTCGCTTTCACGCTCGTTTTTCGACATGGGGCCGGAATGATATCAAGGCTGCCAAGTGCAGTACAAACAGTACATGTACAACTACACAAAAGATCAGACTTGCCGTGCATGAATTCATGGATTGCACATATTTCCATCCAAAGGCATCCCTGCATTGGCACGCATTCTGCACAGCAGCGCATGCGTCCGTTCAACACCATACACGCTGACGTCGCTTCATGGGTAGACATTCTCCAGGACGTGGATCAACACAGTACTTTACACTACTTGTGTGCAGGTTTGGAGGTTGATGCATAGCAAGCTGGACCCAAGTTGTTACAGCCGAGTTGCCTATCCCAAACTACACTTCAACTGCATCCCACTAACCTTCTTGAACTTGGAATAGAAGTTGACTGGATGCAACATATGCTTCTGCGCAAAGATGCCAGTTACCCGTCGGGCCTTGAGCAAAGATGCTACAAAAGCAAGGTGAAATGGACAAACAGCACAAACGCAGGCTTCAGGGAGTTGATCCCAACACGAACACTGCGTGTGCTGTTGACAGCTGCTATCTACGCCGCAGAAAGAAGCAAGTCCGTCTTTGTAGAGCCCAAAGAGTACAGAAAACAGCTTGTAAAACACTGAAGGTCCACTGTGTACTGGGCACACATGCTCACACACACACACGTTGAAACATGGATCGATGCCGGAGACGACTGGTTTCAAAAAGATCGGCAATCTCTTAGCGCAGCGGCTGGTGAGGCCAGATTTTACGGAACTCGTGTGCACGTAATACCATACGCAGGAAACACAGTGTGTTCTGGGTGACTGAAAAACCACAAAATTATGTTAACACCATTTAGAAATAACAGCCTCTAGATTTTTGTCAGTTAATAGCGACTTGACATGTTAACGAATCTTGGCTGTCGAAACCGGCACACATACTAAATATACGCACAACATTTATACAAACAACAAATTCAAAATTGAGCAATTCTGTTTCCACACTTACTGATACTGGCTGCGTGCCGCTCCAGAGATGGGGCAGGCCTTGAGTGATGGACAACCAGCAAGGCATCTGGCGGTCGGATAATGGGCTTGTGCTCTGTCGACCAAGACAATGCACACAAAACCAGGCACACAGATCAAATCGGAGAGCAAAGGAAGGCTGCTGTACATGCACCAACAAAATTCGATACGTTGTCCACACCTTGCGTGGCTGGATTAAGTATTGGATTAAGTATTGAGACAAGAAATAGGCCCCTGAGAGCGCTGCAGGCATGCAACTCAAGTGCAAGTAAGCGTCAAACATCTGACAATGTGCACGAGCTCTGGATGCTCTGTTAGGTTGTATTCGTTCAGTGAACCACTGCTCACTTGAAAAGGCAGGACTCTGCACTACGTGACGTCTACTCTACAACACCAGAAACAGCACACGCTGCGTCAGTGCCGTGAACTACGCCCAGAGTTCCCCGAAACTTCGACCCTGCCCCTGGTGTGATTGAGGGGTGAGGCACGTGAGAGACTTCTCCAAGGTGCTGCACGATGCGAATCCAGGGCCAGTCACTTTGCACTTGCATAGCATAGATGCAGTGTGCGCAACTTGCAGATTGATGCTCGGCAATGGCGAAGAGTCGAGGGGTGTGTAGTGTGAAGTGTAGTGCATACATACTCGTACGGAGTTCCTGCAGTATAATTCAGCATCACCACCATCATCTCATACGGTGATGGAATCAGTGTTTTCCAGGTGAGAAACACTGGTAGGGTGCTTGGGAGAGATAGGGGTGCTCTGGCGGTATCTTTACAGTACAGACCATAAGATAACGGGCCGACACGTTTGAGCAGTATCAGAGACGCCTCCGACGCTCACCTTGTGTTGCATTTAGAAGTGACACGGCACCAGCATTGAACAGAGAGGTCAGACCAGGCACGGGTGGGTTGCAGGCGTTGTTCCATAGCTGAACGAACGACTCCAGCAGACGAGGCAGGTGATCAGACTGAATGTGCGACAGCCGTTGATCCTGCAAATCACAAGGAACATACCGGTATACATGAATAAAGAAACAGCAGAATGAGGATCATGTTCTGCTTGAGACACATTGGCTTTTGGCCGTTACTTTATCGCCATCATAATATTGGGCATCATTGCCCGTTTGGTCTGCAACACACATACTGTATGTATGCATGACATATGCTGCAAATCTGTAACCAACGATTTTCTTCGGGATGGGGATAAACAAGGTCTGAAGTACAGCACAACATAGCACTACTCCAAGTACAAAATTAATGACTACCCGGTATGTGGTGCTAGTGCAACCTGACCAAGAACAGACTTTACTTGGTCAGAGAGTGGCATTGATGCAGTGACCACCACTTCAAACACTCAACTCAAGGCTACCAGCCAAGATCAGCATGGCACTTGACAGGCCAACCGCATGTGCGCCCTGAGTTTGATATCCTGCGGGCTAGCGCCAGCCTAGTGTCGTAGCCCACGTCACGACCAACGACTAGCGCTGCCTGCGCGCTAAATCGCGAATGCGCCGAAGTAGTTGGTAACAGCCGGTACAGCAGCGTACTGGTTGATCTGAGATACTCATGCCAAGGGATTTTCCCATAGCTCAAATTCGAAATCACGCGGGTCGGTCACCAACCACGCCGTGACATTCACAATCACCATCCAGAAAATGAGTCAAGAAATTGGTTTTCTATATACTCGCTCAAACTTCCATAGAAAGCCTCACCAGAGCGGAGAGCTGTTGATAGCGCTGACGTCCAGTCCAGTCAAACCGTGAAGGGAGCAACTGCCAAAAGCAAGCAACAAAGCATTGAAATCAGATGTGAAACGATAGTCAATGTCCCAAGATTATCGACAATTATTTAAACTACTTACCTGATTCTCTTCCAATTCTTCTTTCAAAGCCTGCAACAAGAAAACAAAGCAGAAAAATAAGAGCTGAGTCGGACATTGATTACACCAACCAGGGAGTACTAAGACGAAGAGATCAGACCTGACAATCACAAGGAAACGTACCTGAGCAGTCCTTGCACATGGTCCTGAAGCCAAATGTCTGTAAATGAGATAAAGCAGTTCTGGATAGGAAAGACGTAAAACAAGGGCATACGAAGAGCATAAGATGACCAGGGACCAAGCTGCTCGCCTCTACCCACCATTACCACCAACCTGAGTCCAATCTGGCTCGAGAGTTGTCCATTTCTCGTTTACACTTCAGCTAGATGTTCAAATAATCTGATCCTGAACTAATTCGACGAGCTCCAATAGCCAGTGATGAAATTCTCGCCCAACGGGAAAGACAGCGAGCTACTGTGCAACCAGGAAGAACATCACATCTCGGGACAACCTGATACAGCAACACGCGCGATAAAACACTGCAAAGGCAATGGCATCGAGTCCTGAGGAAAGTAACACTTCTCGAGCTTGAGAAGGGTATCAGCTCTTGGCAGTTTTCAGCATATCCAGGATCTCAAGTAAAGGCTTCCTTCTGCACAGCAACAAAAGCTTACTCACATGTAGTCTACCAGGTCTACAGACCGTAGATCTACACTACAGTGTCTACACTACAGTGTCAGTGTGCTCATACACATAGCTGGTCTACGTGACTGTGCTCAGTGTGCTGCATATGTGATGCAAAAAATCGAGGCATTCTCCTTTTAGAATTATTCATTTTTGCCGATCTCCTCACGTCATGACGTCAGGCGCCTGCCAGTTTCTTCGCTCGCTAGCGCGCAGCTGCTCAGCACTGCAGTCTGCACTCTTGTCTGTGTAGTCTTGATCTTGAGAACAGTTCACGTGACATGGTTCAGCGCTAGCACAAAAAAAGATCAGGCGCATGCGCACTTGTGCAACCCTGCATGCAAGACTCGGGCCAGGGAGTCGTATACCCATATGAAGAGCTTGAGAACAAAACACGGTATATCCATTTTGGCACTTTTCGGGTAAAGTCAAAATTCTGTTCTGACATTGTCTTACATCCCATCCCAATGGAAATTTGGATTTAGTACCAGAAGGAATACTGGACCCCAAACACCATGTCATCAAAAATCCACACCTCTCAGATTTTGATATTTTTTGAATTTTTCACCTTCTTTTTGGCAAAACGCAGTATATCCGAGTGAGAATATAGGCACAAGACGCCCTCTCCCAGCAGGAGACAAAACAACTGGCTCACTCATACCATCTAATGTCACCTCCGCCACGCTGATGTCTAAGACAAGAGCTTTGACAGCGTCAGGGAGGAAGAGAAAGCTATTATTTGACAGCATAAGTCGAGTCAAGCGCTCGTTCAAAAAAATAATTCGAACTAGTTTGAAAAAATGACAAAAAGCAGTGTTCTGCGCGTTCTGAACACCACCCGCGCTGCCCACGACTGTATAACTATGACAACTGGCGTATACTGCGTTTTGAAAAAAATCCTAGCCGGATATACAGCGTTTTGCTCTGAAAGCGACTGTTTGAATGGGGTTTTCTGTAGGATGTACTGCGTTTTCGCCAAAAATGACCTCGCCATCAAATTCAGCTCGATGTGATCTTTCAGTTGGGTCAAAAATCTCGATTTTGAAGATTTGGCGCATACAGCGTTTTGTTCTCAAGCTCTTCATATGTACCCACGACTCCCTGACTCGGGCCATATCGTGGATGACAAGAAACCATGGCATAGGTTTTGATGTACAATCATGTACATGTATAATCCTCATAAGGAGGTGAAGCTTTTGTTCTTTTTTCCTTTTTCCCTCGTACTTTTTTCTTCTTCTTCTTTTTCCTTATTTTCCCTTTCTCTTTTTCTTTTTGCGTATTTGCAGTCTGTGTTTTTTCTCTCTTTCGTGAAGGCTTGCTTGTTGTATCCTTGGCTTTCGGCCGTTACTTTATCGCCATCATAATATTGGGCACCATGCATTGCCCGTTTGGTCTGCGATGCAAAATAAATTTCAACAAGCGAAATGTAACACTGTAGTGGCCCCTTCGTTTTCTCTGCAAACCCGCTAGAAATACCAGAATTTTTTAACGGCAAACACCATAGCAACCACTGCCCTGGATAACCCCTGTGCCACAGCCTGCTCCATGATTTGGCCTTCAACTAGTTCAAGTGTTTGAACTGCGCATGCCCCAGTGGGGATGGGTCCAATGTCAGAATACCATCCGAAATAGACCGAATGGGAGTACAGGCAAGACAAGCCAAAAAGCCTGAGAGTAAGCCGGAAATGGGTTGGCAACCCATCATGTCGTCATGCACTAGAACAAGACTAGAGTCCAGAATTACATGTACAACATGAGTACTTGCGAGTTAGTATTTGCAAAATCAAACTCATAGTCCTGGATCCAGACATACGTCCGTCGAAGAACCGTGGTCGTGAACTGATCTGCCGCTGTCCGTGCAGGGCTTGCGTCCACCGGCCACAGATAGAAACGCCGAAAGGTAGAAACTGATGGCTTGGTGCAAGATATCCGCTAAGGACACCCGACCGGCATGTGCGGCCGATGTAGCAGCCCCACGCAACGAATGGGCTGAGAATATCGCTGTGTCCACTCCGGCCGCAGTCATACCATCCTTTATCCATCTGGCTATAGAGGACGATGCCCCGCACCGGCTTGAAAGGCTGCCGCAGGCTGAGGAACTTGAAATCTGCGGATGAGCAGTCTGACGGTGAGGAGCTGTGCGCCTGACATACTCCTGGAAGCAGCTCTGGATAAGCACAACTGTGGCGTGCTGTCGAAGACAGGCCACACCACGGTGGGAAGGGAAGCATCCCCCGGCAACCAGGCCGGCCGGCTGCTTAGGCATGGAGGCATACCGGCGTCACACGGAGAGACCCATCACTCTCAATAACATGGGGATGGAGATCCAAACGATGCAAATCAGAAGAGCGCTTGGCTCCAGTCAGCGCCATGAGCAGAGCCAGCTTGCGGATCGAAAGTAGGCGCAGAGAGAGGGTGGAATTATCACCCAGACCATCCATCCAACCCAAGACATCGGAAACTTTCCAAGTATGGGAATACTGGGGTTGTGGAGGACGCTGTTGGAAACGCCACGCATAAGCCGAACCACCAGGGGATGTTGGCCAACTGGCGCACCATCTAAGCCTGGCAAAGTGGAGGACCGTCGGGCAGAGCGATACACATTCAACGTGCGGTAACTTCGGCCCACGGCAAACATATCAGTTAGAAACTGCAATACTTGTGACACAGGCGGCTGAAAGGAATCAATCCGCCGTTCAGAACACCAACTGTGCCAAGCTGTCCATGCTGACGAATAGGCCGAGTTGGTGGTGTCCCCGGGCCATTTCATGATCCCAGGATGAGGGCAATAGTGCCTGATGAAAGGCCTGCCGCCGCACAGGATCGGGAGAGATGAGCCAGCCGGCTAGTTGGAGGTGACCGCCCAGCACCATGGGATGAGGTTGATCCAGCGATGAGGTGAGGAGCGCACACCTTGGCTGCCGCGGCAGAATCGCCATCGGAACCTTCATGAGCTTGGTGAACACCCTTGGCGCGCTGCTGAGGCCGAAAGGCAAGCCTTCGCCGTCATTTTATTGGGTCGTCATCCCGTTTGAGTGTGCGAAGTGAAATATAAACCAACGAACCAACCAAGGTCCAATTTGACCAGCCAGTCGTTGGGCCGCAGCCTGAAGGAGATCGGGCAAGAGAATCAAGCCTTCCATCTTGAAATGCTCGTAGCGCACGAACCCGTTCAGCGCTTTCAAATTCACGACGGGGCGTTCCTTGCCGGAATCCTTCTTTGGAATGGTGAAAATCTGGCTGACGAATTGATGAGAACACTCCTGCACTCGAGTGACGGCCCCTTTCAGCACCAATTCGTCCACTTCTAGCCGCACAGCGAGCGCTCTGTCCTCCTCCAGAGATCTGGGCTCTCGGCCCCGTAGATCTACTTATCTTTGTGCGGGATCGGCCACGAGATCCAGCTTCAGGCCCCGCACCGCATCCAAGACCCACGGGTCTGACGTGATTGCCGACCAGGCCAGGCTTGCACAAAATGCCTCAAACGCCCAGCGACCGGAATTTGGGGGAGCGGGGGCACGAGCGGAGCGCGTGCCAGCTCGTTGTGGGGTGGATCATGGACTAGACTCACTTGGATGGCCGCGAAGATGTAGGTTGAGCTGGGAATTCCGGAACGCGAACCATCCACCGGCAGGGTCCTGACCGCGCCCCCGAAAGGGCCGGTTGCCTCCACGCCCGTTTTTTGAACTGGCAGTGGCGGAAAAATGACCCTCTCGCCTATGATTGTCATGGCAGGGAAATGAGCGGTGGCCCCCGCGACGCCCTCCAGCACTTGCTGGGTAATAGTAATTATGGCCCCTGAAGTTGGAAGGCCGACTATCCTTGTAAGCCGGCTTCGGCTTTGGACGAGCCAGACGAGCGGCGAAAAGCGTCAATTTCTTGAGTCCGCTTCTTGTATTGTCTGGTAAAGTCCTCGCCGAACAACAAGTTCCCAGACTGGAAATAGTATCCCCGGCTTTGTCCTGGTTTCAGTGGTCTTTTATGACAGGCGGTCGCCTTATCCGAGTGGTCGCCTTATCCGAGTGGTCGCCTTGACAGGTTTTACTGTACTACACTTTACAAACTAGTATTGGGTTATATACTACTACACTGTACATGTACCGCAGCATGGAATCAGCTTTTGAATACTGTAAACCAGGGAGTAGTAAAATACAGTATTTTACTACTCCCTGCTGTAAACCAAGGAGTAGTAGTAAAATACAGGGAGGTGACACGAGCATACAGTGCAGTACGTGGCCAGCTCGACGCGGCTGAAGCCAGTGGCTCACAATGACGTCTCCGTGGAGCCCCACCTGCCAGTCACTGGGCCCATGGGGACTGTGGGGAGCAGTTCCTGTCACGATGATGATGGTATCGCACCGCTATCCACTGTATCCAGACTGAGCAGGCCCGCCTCGACGTTGCGGCAAGTGGCATCTGGGGTGGCCGGTTTGAGCACACCTTCATCGACTAGACGTGAGGGTTTTCAATCATCATGCCTCCTCAAACCGCGCCACCTCTTCCTGCTCAGTAGGACCGGTACACCAAGCACGAGAACTCAGAAGGAGAAGCGCCGCTGCTACGAGCAACGTGTCCGCGACATAGCCTATCGGAGCATTCGTCGTTTGTTCCGGCCATATTTTCTACCACCTCTATGCTCGCCGACAAGAGGAAGGAGCCCTTCTCTTCATTTCTTGCCTTTATAAGGTCAAGGGTATCCTGTTCTCTTGTCACAGTCGTGCCTCCCATGCTAGCCTCAGAGTCGAGGTCACCGCAGCCTGGTCCGCAGGCCGTGCACGGTCTCAAGATTATTATTATTATTATTATTATTATTTTTTCTTATTTTGTTAGGGATTTCCCAACAGGCAATAGATGCTCGCCAGAGAGTAATGAATCTGATGCTCCTGGTCCCTCTCCCCTTTTTTATGATCATTTTGTATGTTTTACACTATAATACAGGTAGACTCAAACCTCAAATTTCCAGGCCCCAACTACTAATTGTAATCACTGAGGAACTACTTCGAAGTAACTATCCAAACGCAGCCTGTAATTTTCTTACCGGTATGTTCCTTTCTACTTTCTAGCGCTAGCGCTCGACTGGTTATTAGTATCTTCCTTCTTTTTACTGTAATGGATCGGAGTCGTCAAATTAATTGACGACTCTCCGACGCGGTCAGCCTGATGATATAATATTAATAATAAATAATATTAACTGGTTAAATAATTCAAAGGATCAGTCGGGGAAGTGAACTGCCTGAAAAGAGAAAAAAACGCCAGACCCACCAGGACTCGAACCTGGGACCCTGCTTGTCATGAGCAATGCTCTAACCACTGAGCTATGGGACCAGGCTGAACCTAGAAGGCGCTGACAAGTTTTTCACTCCAAATTAAATAATAATAATAATAATTATTATTATACTTTTATACTTACCGGTATAGAACAGTCAGATCATACTATATTACTATACAGCCTATACACTACATGTACTGGACGAGTGTGAGTAGTGGATCCAGCTGTTCCAAAAAAGCCTGTGAGCATGCGCGTTGACTTCGGATTTTTCGATTCATCTTTCCGGATCATGTGGATTTTTCAATAAAGTAAGTACATGTACTGAGTGCATGTACCGTACATGTACAAGTTAGTTCTTTGACTACTTTTCCGACCTGGTTGTCACTGGTTGTCACTTGCTATTTTTTATTTTGTCTCCCTTGGAAGTAACTAGTTGGAGAGTTTACTGTCACCTTTCTCCTCTCACGCTTGTAGCTGCTAGTATGGCTGCTTCGATAGCGATGGATATTGAGCCTCCAGACGAGTGCTCTGACTGTGATGTGGAGGAAAGGTCTGCAGAGGAGGAGGATATAACTCCTCCGCTTGGGTTGCAGTCTATCCGTTGTGAAGATATCCTGACGTGGGCAGAAGGTAAGAGATATCTCAGACATCGACAACTTCCTGATTGTTTTTATTATTTTCTCATGTGCTACGGATGGACACGGACACGCCACCGCAAGAAGCCATGAGCGGCTATTTTGACAAGGGGCAACAAAGCACCTCGTGGGCGGCCAAAGTGGCCACTGGCCACAAGTGACGTCTGGTCGCTCACCTGAATAAGCTGGGTGTGTCCACTGATGAAGACCATGGAAGAACATTTCAGGCTGCCGACAAGCAGCGGTCAAGACAAACTGGAAGAAACTGTGCTGCTCGACACCCGAAGAGAAATCGGTATAAGCAGCTAGTACATCTTGTATGACGATGTCCACAAGACAGAAGCGGAAAGAATGCTGAATTACTTTTTACTACTCGTACGCGAGATGTGTTGTTATCGTGTGTGTGTGTGTGTGTCTGTGTGCGTGTGCGTGTGTGTGTGCGTGTGTGTGTGGCTGTGTGTATGTGTGTGCTTGCGTACATGCATACGTGATTATATGTGTGTGTGTGTGTGTGTGTGTGTGTCAAAGTATGTATTGCGGTCGGAGTAGAGGCGTTATGGAGTTGGACGATCGGAGCGCGTATGTCCCGCGTGTGAGCCTTGATTCCGGCAGGTTTATACAGTTTCAGGTGGGTGAAATGTTTATACAGTTTCAGGTGGGTGAAATGTTTATACAGTTTCAGGTGGGTGAAATGTTTATACAGTTTCAGGTGGGTGAAATGTTTATACAGTTTCAGGTGGGTGAAATGTTTATACAGTTTCAGGTGGGTGAAATGTTTATACAGTGTCAGGTGGGTGAAAAAATACAGTTTCAGGTGGGTGAAATGTTTATACAGTGTCAGGTGGGTGAAATGTTTATACAGTTTCAGGTGGGTGAAATGTTTATACAGTTTCAGGTGGGTGAAATGTTTATTATTATAAACGTTTTAAAATACTTTGACACATGTCCTAATTGGCTGGTGGTGATTCTTGCGTATATGCATGAGTAGACATTCATTTTTTTGTAATATTTTCTGCCTCCGTCCTAGTACCAAATTATTATTATTATTATTATTATTTTCTCACAGAAGAGAGGAAAGTAGCATTCCTTCACTGAAGGCAAGAGTACATAACCCCCAAGAGTGAGCAACTGCCTGCACCTCTATGCAGTGCTGCGACTGCAGAACTTCACATCACGTGACATGGTTCAAAAGGTTACGCTGACAAACAGTGAAAAGTGACCACAATTACCGTAAAATACCATTGATTCCCCCCCCCCCCCACGCCTTGTCGCTTCCCAGCTGGGTTTTCGTCGGGGGCGGGAATTAGATCAAGGCTGTCAAGTGCAGTACGATGTACAACAACATGGAGGATCAGACTCGATGTGCTGAATTGTGCACATTTTTATCCTGGATTGGCACGTATTGTGTACAGCAGTGCATGCGTCGGTTCAACATCGTATTTCGTAGTATACGCCGAAGTCGCGTCACAAGTAGAGTTACTTGACAGGGTGCGGATCAACGGTACTTTATGGTAGGTACAACAGCACAAGCGAGTTGTGCCCAAAGCTATCATGCACAGAGTGCAAATAATGTATACGGGTTCATCACGTGATGTGAAGTTCTGCCGTCGCAGATCTGCAGACCCCATGGCTGGAGTTGCACACTCTTGGGGCTTATATACTAGTGAGGTTCTGCTCTACGTTACAGGAACGCGACGCGGAGAATCCCGGGAACTCTTCGCGTTCCCGTAACGTAAAGAACATCTATTCTGCTCTACGTCACGTAGAGAAATCACGTGGAATGCATACTGGGAATTTCCCCTTCCATATTTGGCAGTTTTCTGCCTGCATTTGATCGATGCCCAGCAGATCTGTACGCTTTTTCTCTGTGTGTGCCACTAGAGAACCTCTTCATCTACGCGTAGAGATCCGGACCCAAAACACGCGAAGCCGTAGACTCTAACCCGGACACCTGCTCTCTACGTGACTTCTCTACGTTTCACGCATAGCAGAAACTCTCTACTCTTGCAAGCAAAACACGATAATTATGCAAATGTTCCAAGTGTGGTGTTCCGCTGCATGGTGCCAACTGCAGCGAGTTGTACCACGCACGCTCGGCAGCAGTCGCGATCCGCCAAGTAGCGTCTACGAGCACTCCTTGAAGACAATCACATAATTTTCTTCTTCACTACTCTTGCTTTAATTTTTGGATTGCTCCACGAAAGCTTTCGCAGCAAAAGAGTTCATTATATTCGGCCGTATCAACCTCGCATAAAACCAGGGTGATTTTGGTCTGCATTCCGGCCAACGTTCCCTTTTGAGAACATGTATAATGTTTCCATAACGCCTTGTCATATTAGATCAAACTTATAGACCGGCACTCTTTTTTAATGGGTTAAATACGGTCCAAGATAACCAAAAAAGTTCTTACTTGTACAATTTGAAAATCATGTCTGGTGTTGGCCAAATTAATTAAGGTTAAACATAAATGTGCTGAATACTGGACAGGTTCTCTCACCTACTGAGGTAGAGGCATGTTTTAATGATAGCTTGCATGCCGTCCTACCGGTAGGACCACGGGTCCTACCGGTAGGACCCAAGAAATCGCGCTGCAAAAGTGCTTTTGGTTGAGAAATTTCTTGAAACAATTGTTGAGATGAGGTCTTTGTCAGGCAAAGTAATGGCGCAAAATGCAAGACTATGTCCAGTGCATTGCATACGCGCAATTTTATCAATTGTCAAAATGGCCGCACATACTCCTGTCGGAGCGCTAGCAACTCTGTCCAAAGTGAATTTTGACCATGGCACATCAATCGTGGTGAGGTACTAATGTTTTTATTAGTCTGCCAAGGCAGTGGAATGCATAATTCCATACACCGTTTCCATGGTTACCATTTGCTGTTACCATGGAATTTCGTACTATGCCTTGTGCGATCACGTCAAAAAATTGTGGACTCCTTCATTAGCCCCTGAGCAACAGTTTAGGGTCAAGTTTTAGGTCAATGTTAGAACAGAGGCCATGCAGCATGTCTGTGTATGATGGTCCTACCGGTAGGTCCTACCGGTAGGACCGAGGTCTATGCAAGCTATCACTAAAGGGGAAGTATACCCTAAAATCAAATTTTCACCAGTTGTAGTCTTCGGGGTGCTGAGTCGAATGGTCTTGGTCCGAGGACGCTGAGACGCTCCCTTCCTCCTTTATTCCCAATCGAACTCGCGCACTTCCACCGAAACTGGGTGACTGCACCCTACTAGATAGGGATTTGTATGGAAAAAGTCACTGAGAACGCTGTTTCGTTCTTATAAAAGCACGGATGACCGCAATTGGTCCATATGTTGTAGTCTTGTGGCCGCTGAGTCGACTGGTTTTGGTCTGAAAAGGCTGCGATGCAGCGTTCGGCCCTTACTAAGTTCCCAATCGAATACGGTTGAGTGAGCGGTCACGTGTTCATGCGTACACCAGTCGCCTGGTCACCGTGCCTGCAGAGTACAATTTTCACATCAAGATTCAACTCAAAGGTTCAAAGCAGGGAGTCGTAAGAGGCTTTTACGACTCCCTGGTTCAAAGGTTCAACTCGAGTGACATAAACGGGCCCAAACAGGCTGTAAATGAGCACGTGACCGCTTACTCAACCGTGTTCGATTGGGAATAAGGGCCGAATGCTGCATCGCAGCCTTTTCGGACCAAAACCAGTCGACTCAGCGGCCACAAACTACAACATATGGACCAATCGCGGTCATCCGCGCTTTTATAAGAACGAAATGGCGTTTTTAATGACTTTTTCCATACAAATCCCTATCTAGTAGGGCGCAGTCACCCAGTTTCGGTGGAAGTGCGCGAGTTCAATTGGGAATAAAGGAGGAAGGGAGCGTCTCAGCTTCCTCGGACCAAGACCATTCGACTCAGCACCCCGAAGACTACAACTGGTGAAAAATTGTTTTTAGGGTATACTTCCCCTTTAACTGCTGCTATGCCTAGGCCAGTTCTGGGAAATCACACGGGATTGTGCAAGCAAATTTGCCTTGTAGCCGTAACCATACGCAGCCATATTATTATTACATCCACTTCCGGAGCGTTCACGGTTGCGTGCCAAAGTATTGCTCTAAGAACTCTCTGTTGATGCGGTGCAGTAGGACATAACGCTTTTAACTGTTGCATTCGCGTTACTTGCGGCTACCCACTCTACTAAGCCATGTATGCCATAGCGTGTAATTGATAATATCCTTGAAACGCTGCGAGGAGATCTACTCTTTGTTGGCTTGGGTTGCACTTTGGTTGTTTCTGGCCATACAATCAATTTTCCACTCACGGAACCACTGGTATGCAGATGAAAAGAGTTGCATACTAGCACAGTCATGGAGCCAACTTGGACCCCATCTTGGAAAATGCCATTAGGTGCACATGCTCGTGATGTAATGGTGTTGCTCGCAATGGGCGTTGGCTGTCTCTAACATAAACTGCTCGTGCCTGTGTCGACGAACCCAATCGGTTCACCACTCCGAGGGTCCCATAGCCTTCTTTTACTTTTACTTCATCGAAGTACAGCCCGCCTGTGTTGGCCCGGTCTTCTTGCCCCTTTCCTGCGTCAATAAATTTATCATAAACAGACCGCATTTCATCCAAGGTGCCATCGTTTCATCCTGAATGCGGGTGATTGAAATTACGGTATCTGAGGAGAGTTCGGCCAGACGGAAGTCGAAGGAGTCTGCCACTCTGCATATCTTTGTATGCAGAGGCTGAGCGGGCATGCTGATGCAGGCACCATCGTAGAACACATGGATTCCAACACATCTGATGATCCGGCACTGTGAGTGCCCTGGCTTGGTCCTCAAGTAGATATTTAAACGGGATGTCTCCTGGATCTCCGGTGTGCTTCCGCACATGTGCATGAACAGCCACTTTGCTTCAAGTTTTATATGGCGTAGTGCTGCAGCCTGACCACAGGCACTCGTTGGGAAAAGCTGACAGGAAGTTTCCATTATTTTCGTATGATTGAAACAAAATGTGGTTCTGCAACTCCTCAATTGACTCCGAACAGCTCTTCCAGTTGCACTGAGTATTGTTAGCTTGGGCCTGTATCTTGTCCAGCCCATGCTCTACTTTCGTAAACAATGACAATGTGGCATTTTCTCCGTTGTGCTTTGTGGTCACCCTTTTTTACTGAGTTCTTCCAATTGTTTGGCCAGTTATTGCACAGACTTTGGAGCGGGCTTGGTCCTCACGCGGTCAACCCGTTCTTTCCCCGTTAAATGAGTAATCGCAGTGCTTGCTCGTGATCCAGGTGTGAGATTCTTAAGTCTTGACAAGTCTTTCCGAAGGCTGCCGTCAAACTGTCGACATGTGGCAGTGCTGCATATCCCTGTGGCACACAACATCCACAATTGCAGGAGGCGGTACGAGCCATCAATCTTGTCCTCCCTAAGGAAGACCGAGTATCAGGTGAAAGGCTCAGGAAATACTTTCAGCGTGCAACAGCAAGAACACCTGGTGTAGGGTTGGGTAAATACCGTGGTAAGCTGCGCTGGGTGCGATTCAGCTCAGTTTTCAGTAAAGTGTCACTCATTCAGCTTGCGTACAGAAAGCATTGCAAGGGTCAATTACAGACGAGGAGCGAACATCCTTGCTCATTTGTATCGGTGAGTGCGTAGGAGAATGGGATCCTGCATCATCTCCTTCATCGCTAAGACAAGCTTAAGCTTATGTTCCCCTCGACTTTGATGGCATTAAAAGGGCAGTGCCGACCAACTTCCACTGGAGAGTAACACTGGAGAACGGATGCTGTATTACCTGGCACTACAGGACAGACGGTGATACGGAGCGATCAATAAAGGTTCAACCCAACGTGACATACGCAACACACTTTTACGACCACAACCTTCCACGTCTCGACTCTAATCTTCCTGTCACCCTCACAGCAACAGAGCAGCTTACATCTTTGCTAACAGCAGTGCTACACGCAGCCATATGTAAAGGGTTGAATTATGAAAAATGTGAGCCACTTTTCAAAGCCAGATTTGATGGAAACACTTTTCAAGTCAAAGGATGGGTCGGTCAATGCGTATGCTGAAGAGCCGTGCACAACACAGGGGTGCATTTGAACATCGGGCTGTGCAATTCGAGTACACGGAAGGGCTTATCACTCCCAAACTTCTCCATGAGGATGGAGTAAACAGTAATTTCACGCACACGCTGTGCTTCCGAGCCACTCCAAAGAATAGGCTTTGATGTGTCGGTTTGTTTGCTGGCCTGTTCAGCAACTGGCTGTGTGTGACCAGGATTAGTTGTCATGTCCATAAGCGTTGCAGATGAATCTAAACCAAATTTCAAGTGGTAGAAAAATGATGAAAGGGGCAGAACCAAACAATCATACAAAATAATAGAAACGTGGTCTTACATGTAGAGCGGTGAGGAGAGGTGGACAGTTAAGATTGTCTTACATGTACATGTATGTATTCAGTGATATTTGCCGTGTGTGTGTGTGCGTGTGTGCGTGTGTATGTGTGTGTGTGTGTGTGTGTGTGTGTATGTATGTATGTGTGTGTGTATGTGGTACATGGTGTGTGTGCATGTGTGTGTTGTTGTTGTTGAATTGTTGTTAAAAAAAGGGTTTGCTCCCCATACTGGAGCTCGCGCTATTCCGCCGACTTTACTTGACACTTGACTGACTCACGACTGCCATCCAGAGCACACGAGAAGTCCATCGAACCTTCGACTCGTGAATTGTTGTTGAATTCTTTATTCTCACATTGTTGTTGTTGCTGCTGCTGCTGCTGCTGCTGCTGCTGTTGTTGTTGTTGTTGTTGGTGTTGTTGTGGTTGTTGTTGTTGTTGTTGTTGTTGTTGTTGTTGTTGTTGTTGTTGTTGTTGTTGTTGTTGTTGTTGTTGTTGTTGTTGTTGTTGTTGTTGTTGTTGTTGTTGTTGTTGTTTCAAATCTTTATTCTCACGATAATTGTTGTTGTTGTTGTTGTTGTTGTTGTTGTTGTTGTTGTTGGTGTTGTTGTTGTTGGTGTTGTTGTTGTTGTCATTCTCCTAGGCCATGCGATGAGGATTGGTGAATCAACTCAACTAACCTGAAGAATGATGTGTTCCTCATGTTCTATGTGTGTGTGTGTGTGTGTGTGTGTGTGTGTGTGTGTGTGTGTGTGTGTGTGTGTGTGTGTGTGTGTTGTGTGTGTGTGTGTTGTTTGTGTTTGTGTGTGTGTGTGTGTTGTGTGTGTGTGTGTGTGTGTTGTGTGTGTGTGTGTGTGTGTGTGTGTGTGTGTGTGTGTGTGTGTGTGTGTGTGTGTGTGTGTGTGTGTGTGTGTGTGTGTGTGTGTGTGTGTGTGTGTGTGTGTGTGTGTGTGTGTGTGTGTGTGTACAATATAATACTTGACCATTTCGCAAATACATCAGTCTAGTCACACAGCTGGACACCATGGCATGACTCATATTCACATGCCACAGACACACTATAATATCATAGCAGTTGGCCTAGTGAGTTAGATTGTTGTTTTTACATAGCTGCTAAGCAGCTAGTGCGGACATAGTCGCTAATGCCACCCACGTATAGAAGAGCGCATGCTCCAGTGGTTCAGTAGTGTTGTCTTGAGTTGTCGTTGTCCTGTTCTCCTGTTCATTCCTGTCTGCACTCTTGTCGAAATACTTATTCCATATTCAATACTATAAAACCCCTGTGTTCTGGTGTGAGGGGAGTTCGTTTAGCCGGGAGCTAACACTGGTGGCAGCGGTGGGATTCGACCCACGCCTCCGGAGAGACTGGAGCCCCTGTGTTCTGGTGTGAGGGGAGTTCGTTTAGCCGAGAGCTAGCACTGGTGGCAGCGGTGGGATTCGACCCACGCCTCCGGAGAGACTGGAGCCCCTGTGTTCTGGTGTGAGGGGAGTTCGTTTAGCCGGGAGCTAACACTGGTGGCAGCGGTGGGATTCGACCCACGCCTCCGGAGAGACTGGAGCCCCTGTGTTCTGGTGTGAGGGGAGTTCGTTTAGCCGAGAGCTAGCACTGGTGGCAGCGGTGGGATTCGACCCACGCCTCCGGAGAGACTGGAGCCCCTGTGTTCTGGTGTGAGGGGAGTTCGTTTAGCCGGGAGCTAGCACTGGTGGCAGCGGTGGGATTCGACCCACGCCTCCGGAGAGACTGGAGCCCCTGTGTTCTGGTGTGAGGGGAGTTCGTTTAGCCGGGAGCTAACACTGGTGGCAGCGGTGGGATTCGACCCACGCCTCCGGAGAGACTGGAGCCCCTGTGTTCTGGTGTGAGGGGAGTTCGTTTAGCCGAGAGCTAGCACTGGTGGCAGCGGTGGGATTCGACCCACGCCTCCGGAGAGACTGGAGCCCCTGTGTTCTGGTGTGAGGGGAGTTCGTTTAGCCGAGAGCTAGCACTGGTGGCAGCGGTGGGATTCGACCCACGCCTCCGGAGAGACTGGAGCCCCTGTGTTCTGGTGTGAGGGGAGTTCGTTTAGCCGGGAGCTAGCACTGGTGGCAGCGGTGGGATTCGACCCACGCCTCCGGAGAGACTGGAGCCCCTGTGTTCTGGTGTGAGGGGAGTTCGTTTAGCCGGGAGCTAACACTGGTGGCAGCGGTGGGATTCGACCCACGCCTCCGGAGAGACTGGAGCCCCTGTGTTCTGGTGTGAGGGGAGTTCGTTTAGCCGAGAGCTAGCACTGGTGGCAGCGGTGGGATTCGACCCACGCCTCCGGAGAGACTGGAGCCCCTGTGTTCTGGTGTGAGGGGAGTTCGTTTAGCCGGGAGCTAACACTGGTGGCAGCGGTGGGATTCGAACCCACGCCTCCGGAGAGACTGGAGCCCCTGTGTTCTGGTGTGAGGGGAGTTCGTTTAGCCGGGAGCTAACACTGGTGGCAGCGGTGGGATTCGAACCCACGCCTCCGGAGAGACTGGAGCCCCTGTGTTCTGGTGTGAGGGGAGTTCGTTTAGCCGGGAGCTAACAGTAGCAACCAGTGTATGCCAAGACAGCTGAGAGGTAGCAACCCGTGTATACCAAGACAGCTGTGCTGCTGACAAGAATAGCGGTGATAGCCTGATCATGAAAAATCATGTTGATGGTACAGGGAAGTATTATGCTGCGGTTACTAGAATGAATAATTGAATATGCATCATGATTCAGTGTAACGTTAGTGGCTCTATCAGTGTGCTACTGAAAACACAATCATGCTTTTTAAAACAATGTAATATCCGTCAGCAGCCCTAGGTAAGGTGCGAAAACACATGTCAACTTGGTGCTGTGCATCAAGCACTACATCGTACTGAAGTACATTTAATTGTATACAGCTAGCACAAGCATATCGTCTCTACCTCTGCTCCATAACATCTGAGTTTACAAATCATTGACTGGTGGTAGTTTGGGCCAGCACATCTACATGTACATGCACTTTGGCTCAATAAGTACTTTAAATTCTTGTAGGGGCAAACATCTTACATGTGTATGGTAGACCAAGCAGACCATCACAAATGCCAGCACACACACATGCACACATACTTGTACTTGCTCACTGCCAAAACTGGTCACGTGGGTCTCCCTAGGAGAGGGGAGAGAGAGACTCAAAAGGAATCTTGGGAAGATGACTCAATTGGCTATTGAACCGCCCAACTGCCGACACCCCCTGAGATCCCCAAACTCTGGGATATACACACGCACGCACACCCCCACACACACACACACGCACACGCACATTGACCAAGCACATTACATACTCTCTCTTGCCTGGGGTTTGTACTCCCACTTCATGGGTTCAGTAAGCCACTGCAGTTCTGGCCTCACGACAAGCCGACGTGTCTTCTTCACACGCTCGAGCCTCCTCTGAGTTGCGAGGGCCAAGTTTGCCTCAATGTCGGGTCCAGAGGCTGAACCACTGTTCTCCATGGTCAAAAGAATTTCCTCATCGCTGTCAATTATTACGCCTTTGCTCCGCTGAAGCTCCAGGCCTTCTTGAGCAGTATCCACTTTCAGATATTTCGTCACGCTTGGCAAAAGTTCTGCTTTATGGCCGTATGGTAGGTCTTCTGGGTCCGTGGCATCGGACACTGTGATTTTCAGCACACCTTGCCACAAAGAAACAGAACACACACGCACACACACATAACCATACACTCATATACATACACACATACATACACATGGACACACACACGCACACACACACACATACACACACACGCACAAAAAGAAAAAGCAACGGATCTTCCAGGTATGGTTTGCTAAAAAAACAGCTTATTCAGCCAGAATGGATGCCAATTTAGTACATGATAACTTGAACCTTAGAAAAATGGCAGCTGTTTATGTCCTCATGAGAAGCCGGGCCAACTCTCCTAGGGCCCTGGGTCCAAATTACAGCCAGACTGTGGGTACAAGTACCTTCCATCCTGCCTAAAGCTAATAAATTCTTGTGCTTCACCCGTATATAAGTGCAACCCATAACTGCCCCCCCCCCCCCCCCCCCCCCCAGTCCCATTAGCCAGGTTCCACATTCTACAGTTGGTTTAGGTGAAGCAACACACCTCAAGTGATCTAGGCTAGTTGCCTGGCAAGAAGACACCATACAGTGGCTGCCTTGCCAAACTGTCTCATGATCATTGTTGCCTCTTCCTCAGCGGCAGAGGCTTTCTCTGGAGGTCCCAAACCGGTAGTGACCTTGAACCCAGCATTACTTGACTTCAGGCACTGACTGTCTCTTCAGCCTACATCTCAATGCCTGTCACAGTGACAGCACCTCCTCCCTCCCCCCCCCCCCCCCCTCCTCCCCACCCCCTGCACACACACACACACCTTGAAACCTTGTAACTGCCACCTAAAGGTGATGCAGTGCCTCAAAGAGGCAAGGAGGGCAGAGTTACTTCTTGCATTTGTGTTGAGCCAGGTACTGGAGACGTGTGAACTTCCGAGAGCAGGTCGGGCATGGGATGGTGCGGCGCTCGGAGCCAGAGCTGCATGCTCTGCGATTGCAGTTGCAGTTGTGCCGGCGGTGCCCAGCTTTGCTCCGGAAACAGCGGTCACAGGTGTGGCAGTGGTAATGACATTGGCTGCAATCAGGTGGGCGAGGTGCAACAATATCTGGAACTGGAGCGTCACCAAGACTGGGAGAGCAGCTGTGCACAGCAAATCCACCTCGGCTAGCAAACCAACGATGGCACGTTTCGCACAACACAGCACCGGCCTGTTCATGGATCGGCTTCAGTCGCTCTTCCCTGCATTTGTGCCGCCGAAGTCCGCTTTCACTGGCGAAGAGTCGCTCACAGATCGCACAACACACTGACTTGGCTGTCGTTTCAAGGCGTAAGCGCCGTGCAACAATAGCATCCGAGATGGACTGGGTCCACTCACCACGTTCAGCTGCGAGGTTGCACCAACCGGTGTATAGACCGAACGCCTTGAGGTCATCGCGTACCACATCACGCCATCGACGCCTGGGGCCATGAGCAGGGCGTGGAGTATGGAGCCACGAGAACAACACTGCCTTTGGAAGCCGGTGGTCGTCCATCCTGGCAATGTGGCCAAGCCACTGCAGCCGTTGACGGGCAACCATGTCAGCAACTGGCTCTGTAGCGCACATTCTATGCAGCGAGGCAGATGACAGGTGGTCCTCCCACTGTTTGGAACGCGAGATGCCGAGAATGACACGAACGCAGCGGTTGTGGAATTGTTCAAGGCGACGTATGTCGGCACGCAACAGTGTCCAGTTCTCAGCCCCGTACAACAGCACTGACAACACACAGCATGTGTACGTGTGTTGTTTCGTCTTAGATGTTAGTGAAGTGTTCCGAAAAACTGACGAGTAGAGGCTGCCAAAGGCCTTAGATGCAGCAGCTATGCGGTTGGACACATCGGTGGTAACACCAGACACACACACACACCAGGGGCGTCACCAGACCCCTTCACAGGGGGGGGGGGGGGGGGTGCACAGGAATTTTGCACAGGAAAACACGAAAAAGTTCGCTGATAGTGAGCTGGCCAGACGCTTTCCTTTTTCGAGAAGACGTTGAGAGGAAACAGCTCCAAAGACTCTATCAGGATTCCACCTGTACAAGGCCAAAGGATGCAGCGCTGCGCACACGTGCACGCGCGTAGTAGGTAAGTACTAAATAATTAGTAGCACTACAATCGGTCATGTACATGCACTCGCTACATGCACTCACGCGATCGCGGCAGACAAGTACAACTTGTTTTTATATATTAGTGCATGCAGTTTATTAGTAGATTCTACCAGCACTACACTTTTCATAACCAGGAGCTCGCAAAAAAACAAAGTCGAATTTTTTAGGGGGGTGCACGTGCCCCCCCCCCCCCCCCCCCCCGTGCCCATCACGGGTGACGCCCCTGCACACACACACACACACACACACACACACACACACACACACACACACACACACACACACACACACACACACACACACACACACACACACACACACACACACACACACACACACACACACACACACACACACACACACACACACACACACACACACACACACACACACACACACACACACACACACACACACACACACACACACACACACACACACACACACACACACACACACACACACACACACACACACACACACACACACACACACACACACACACACACACACACACACACACACACACACACACACACACACACACACACACACACACACACACACACACACACACACACACACACACACACACACACACACACACACACACACACACACACACACACACACACACACACACTTGTTGCTCACTGCCAAAACTGGTCACGTGGGTCTCCCCGGGAGAGGGGAGAGAGACTCAAAAGGAATCTTGGAAAGATGACACAATTGGCACCGCCCAACGGCCGACACCCCCTGAAATCCCCAAAACTCTGGGTGGACTTGAAAATGATCCCACTTATGGGTTCACCACACCTCAGTAAGTGGGTGAGGACAAGGTGCAGAAAAAGGATTGACGGCATCAGGGTATCCGCCCAGGGATCCAACTGCAGTTATCCCTGCCCCCAGTGAAGGTAATACTTGCTACTAGTGTGGGTGGCTGAATCAGAGTGGATCTGATATAAGCTTCACTAGCACCATTGATTACACAAGAGTTAATCTAGCCAGAAGAAGTCCATGGTTAACAGGTATGTATACTTTAAATAGAAAGTATATGAACCCTGGAACCAACAAAGGTGGTAGGTACAACATTACACCTTCAAGCAGCCGAGCCCGTTGGCAACAGACCCAACACAATCAGGCATAAGTGTACCCACCAACCGAACTAGCTGGCACACACACACACACACGCGCGCACGCGCACCTGGAGTGGAAAACTCCAGCATGCCGCCCGGCACCATGCAAGCACTCAGTCATGCGTATACTCACCAGGGCGACACAGAAGCTGGTCTTTATGTAACAACTGCATGTTGCCAGATCGAGAAATCCATGGCACGACAGGTCCTCGCGGCAATACTTGCTGCACATCCTCATCCGTATCATGCGGTAACTGCTCTCCAACTATTCCATCACCTACAGGCACTGCAAGACGTTCATAACCCTGAGCAGCTCTTCCTCGCAAGTACCGTATGACCTTTGCTTGAGCGTCTGGTGGGAGCCGTGGCAGTGCAAGCTTCCAGTCTGCTATACTCGGGGCGCACCACTCGTCAGGCGAGTTGCCTCGCAGTAAGTAGCCCTGATGTTGCTCTGGCAGCTTTCCCATTACGTACATGTCACAGGTCGCCTCGAATGCCTGTGCCGCCCTTTCCTGCATGGTGAGGGCGAGTGCATCGTGCGACAGATCCATGGGTCTAGGTGCAACAAACAGCCGTGTGAATACCGCTGCACCTTCACTCGTGCCTACGTCGGCTACGCCTGGGCGGCTTGCTATGTCCCGGATCAGTTTAATTAAGTCTGTGTTAGCCTTCAGTTCAGCTTCGACCAAGAGCTTTCGGTCAGGAAAATTGACACCATACAAGAACGGAGGTAAAGCCAATGGGGACAAAGGCAAATCCTCTTCCCTCGTGTGCTCAGAGGCTGCTGCACCTGTTTTTACAGCACTGTCTTCATCACTGCCGCCCTTCTGGTCCGCTTCTTCTCCACCCATATCAGTCTCGTTTGGGGAGCCATCTCCCTCGCTCTGTTGCTGCTCTTGCAGCGACTGCTGGCGTCGCTCTCGTTCCCGCTGTTCCTCTTGTTCTTGCCGCTCGCACTCCCTTTCCGTCTGCTTCTCCTGCTCCACCTGTGCCAATGGCTTGGTGGCAAGGTCGAACGTCTGTTCTCTCAGCTGCCGTTTGGAGATTGTCTTGAGAACATCGCCGCCGTCGTCGTCGTTGCAGAACTGGGGACCGGTTTCGTTCGGGTGAAAAACCTCCTGCGTTCTGACAAACTGCACGTCTGCCTTGTCCACTTGGACCAGCTTGCACGGGCTCGCTGACCATTCTGTTTCAGGCCTGCAGACACACACACATGGCAAGAAGTGCCGCAATGTGTTGAAGCTAGTATCGGAACAAGACACATTGCAAAACGTGTATGTCAGCTGCAAACCAGTATCTAAATCAGGGTATGGGGGGGGGGGGGGAGGGGGCAAAGCGACTGTCGCATACAGGCATGTAGTTCTACACCCCTTGTTTCAAATTAAAGTCATGCAGGATATTTACATGCACATGACCACAACTGTGGAACAGTAACAGCACAATAGGAACTAGGCGCACTCCAGCTCCTCAAAATGATACTATTGTTACATATTTTGACTCCAACCTGTTCGGTAATGCATCTTGTGCACCACTGGAAGAGTGATTCGAGTGGGGAAAATCAGAAAAAACACTTTTGTCCCTTCGATCCAATGCAAGCAGGCATTTGGGATAATTGACCGTTTGGATACTGTAAGACATGTAATTATAACGAGGAAGTAAATCTAACGTTTTAACAGGTGCCATTTTTTCGTTATAATAAGTTCTGTAGAAGCTCTAATGCCTTATATGTGTTATGTGCAGATATGCCTGAAGACCGCAAGATCGTTAACGTATCTTCTCGTTAACCTATGAATTTTGGACAATCGTTAAATTTGCGACTCGTTATAATAACATGTCTTACAGTAGTTGACGCTCAGATAAGCAGCATTCTACTGTATCGATCCATAGCGGCATAGACCTGACAATGTCCGCACTAAGCAAAAGTATGGCATTGTCTTATCAGAATACGCACTAACTGAGTTGCACTGCAGTACTCTTGTTGTTATAGTAACTGAGTTGCACTGCAGTACTCTTGTTGTTATTGAGATGAGCATATAGTAAAACCTGTGTCTAGCGACCAGCCTGGTACTACAGACCACTTTGCCAGGCAGGGATGGTCTCACATTCATATCTCGTTAGGGTTGTGCGGTGCAAACCTCTAACTAAAGACCGCCTGCCACTAAAGGCCGCTTTCTCTGGCCCCAAGGCCAGGGTGGTTGTTAGTGACAGGTTGTTAATGTAATTAGCTTACTCATGATAGACCACCTCTGTCGGGTCTACTTGTTTGCCTATGCCTGCAGCATCCAGGGCCATGCCTGGTAGATGCGCTGTCATCTCCTCCCCGCCGTACCGGGACTGCGCAAACGATCTGCCACGATCCTCTGGCAGCCGTCGCCTGTTGATCTCGGACCGCATGTACGCATCCCATATGCCATCCCTGACGGCATAGCTGGTTTCTACAAGCACAGAGATTCCACGCGAAGACAAGCACACACACACACACACACACACACACACACACACACACACACACACACACACACACACACACACACACACACACACACACACACACACACACACACACACACAGCTATCTTCACACTAGTCTATCTGGAACACAGGAGGATGCGCAATAAACAGGGCAAAAAAGGCATCACTGACAATCGGTGAAACACCAAACATAATATCCGTGCTGCTCAGAGTTTATTTGGGCACAATAATATAGAATAAAACAAATTCATGTCGCTTTGGCAGATATGGTGGGGAAGGGGCATAATTCAGCCATTTTGGCACTGTATGGGGGGGGGGGGGGGGATATACCATATTCCAGCCATTTTGGCAAAAGTACATTAATTTTATAGGTAGAGAGCATTGCTACTGACATACAGCAGTCCATGCCTTCCTAACTTTCTACCCTCTTCTTCTGCCCACCTCCAATGTGGTTTAACCATTGGCTCATCCCGCTCGTCACCAACACTCTCACATCCACTTACCACGGGCACCCCTGTCATCAACATCTGGGTGTATTTTTGTCAGTCCCGTGAAGCGCCATGACGAACTATTATCTTCATTTTCCGGAGCCGTCGACTCGTTGGCAAGGCCCTCCACCAGTTTTCTTGTCCTGTCACAGGAGAAGTCCGGTGGTACTGGCATGCCAAGACCATCAATGTATTTACCCTTTCCACGATCATCATAAAGCTTCTGCCTCATATACGGGATGCAGTCTTCAAACGGACGCAATTTTGACTTGAAGTCGGTGAGGAAGTACTCCTTCGGTGCTTCTGATGCATTCATCCACGACGCCTTGATAGAAAGCTTCCGTCCGCTCTCTGCATGCAAATACGTGTATGTACATGTACATACGGATGGTGTACACAAAGAAATGGAAAAGACGAACAGCTATGTATTAAAAAATAGTTGATTATAATACTTCAAGTGATTGGTGGAAGAAATAGAGCCTTATGGATTACTCACCAAACAAGCACAGCTTTGTAAGCCAGTCTTTTATCACCTTGGTTAAAGTCCTCATTCACTATACGGCTCGTAGGATTAGTATACCTGGCCTCAACATTACCGACATGAACCTTGTACAATGCATACCCCGGTACAGAGCTCCTTGAAAGCACATGGATAGATTGACAATATATACTTAGTCTTGCGACCAAACGTTGCACACCAGATCTGTATTGTGAATTTCCAACACGACATATCTACTGAGAGTGGCTTTGCAGAGATGTCTTTCACGCGGATCATTGCAAGCATTCTTCTCAGGTCTACTGATCCGGCTACAGATGGTGGTGTTCACTGTATGCGGTCCTACGGCCAGACTTGCTTATACACAACGGATTGCAGGGCTACATCATGAGTCGGTTCAGCGGGTCACTAACCAGATGCAGCTAGACGGCCATAGCGGTCCTTGAGCAGAACCACCACTGTGAACGACTCATCCGTCTTTATGCTGGTGATGTTGAGGTGCTTGAGATCCTTTGCCAAAACTACATCCATCGAGACCGGCATCTCTGAAGAAGAAAAACATTGTCATGAAAACAAGCCGTCAGCGATATGCCTCAGCAGGGGGTTGGGGAGAGGAGCGGGGGGATTGGGAGAAGCTGATGGGATGAATGCAGCATTATTATACAGGATAGCAACCAGGAGTTTGGCCATACTGATCACTAGCCAGAGACCAGTGCTGCTTACTTCCTTGCTACACATACATGTACCGCATCATAGTGTGTCGTACTGAGTGTATGGCATAGAAAGATATACGCTGAGCTGATTTACAAAATGCTTAGTTGTTTACTGGACTTGATTGCGATTGGTTCGGCCAGTAACTCTGGGCTCCTCTGAGGAGACCAAACCGTGGGGTCGAAGCAGCTAGCTGTCCGCAGATTGAGTATCACGCTCCCTTGCCTCGGCTTGGTTGAGCACTCTTTCTGCGGCTTAGAGCCAAAATTGCCTGCCCAAGCCAGTGCAACCGTGTGGCTTACTGTGTTTCTCATAGTTAGAGCACTTTGACCGGCGTGATGCTTTGAGCCAGTTTAGAAATTATTCAAATTAATGCTTTGCTGTTCACTGGACTTCATTATGATTGGTTCAGTTGACCAGTGACTCTGGGTTCCACCGAAGAGACCAAAAAAGGTCGAAAGAGATAGCTGTCTAGAGATTGAGTACATGTAGAAAGATAAACAATGTATGCGCAGGTGTGTCCAAGTACATTAGGCATTTACCCTGCAAAAAAAGCCATACGGTCATAATCATGCATGAGCATGTGCCTTACTTCCCAAAGTATGAATATAGATGGAACCGACGCACAGGGTACATATCCAGGACACTGAAGGGACGTGATATCTTACCAGCCGACAAGTCACCGTTGGTGAAATTCCCCTCAAACACAACACTTGTCTGCCGCTCATGCACCGTAGCGCGTCCGCGGCCATGCATCACACCATTCACAAATCGTCCCTGCGACACACCGACACAGGCACAAGCAGATTCAGCTGCGGATAGCCAGAGACCGTCAAGTATGACCAAGGCAAACAAAAAGCAGCATCAGAAGTCCACATCTATAATGAAATGTTCAAGAAGGTTTGCGCAAGTACCGTATTTTTTGGAGTATAGTGCGTGCCTTTGTATAACGCGCACCCCCAATCTTCATTGGGGGTGCGCACTTCAATCTTCATTGAAGTACATGCATTTCATACTCGGAGCATAGTGCGCACCTGCGATTTAGGGCCCAAAATAGCACATCTAAAGTGCGCACTATACTCCGGAAAATACGGTAGTTGCTTATTAGTTTCATATCTCCTAGCTTATGGTGCCAAGCCATCGAATATTGCTCTATAATGCTACTCATGGCGTGGCCTTCCAATTGCTACTACTCCTTGACACTCTCCAGTTCATACACAGGAGGCATACGTCTATGCCCCTGCAGTATACTATAGCAACATCATTGTGTTTGATGTTTGATCGGCAGCTGACTCACCTCGAATTTCAACCCATTCCAAACGAGACTTCCAGACCCCATAGGTGTATCATTCCTCCATTCGCCATCATAAACCGTATTCCTGAGCAGCAGTGTTCATGGATCAGACAAAGAGTGCACAGTGGCACAGTGTGGATACATAGTGCAGAAGATTATTCACAGGGTGGGGGGCAGTGAGCTCCACAATGTCGTGGCTATTCAAGGTTGTATGTAACCAGAGTGGGCATCACGGTCATTTGCTTGATCTAGATTGGCGTTGCTTCAGAGTTGTGCACACCAGCTTAGTGCACATATCTACAGTGCACCTTGCGGAGCGAGCGGTTGGATGTCACTGCAGGCCAACTTCGTACAGGATTGGTGTCACTATTGTCACATGAATACGGTACTAAACCAGTTAAGAGTTACACACATGCTCTCTCTCTCTCTCTCTCTCTCTCTCTCTCTCTCTCTCTCTCTCTCTCTCTCTCTCTCTCTCTCTCTCTCTCTCTCTCTCTCTCTCTCTCTCTCTCTCTCTCTCTCTCTCTCTGTCTTTCTCTCTCTCTTTCTCTCACTCTCTCTCTCTCTCTCACTCTCTCTCTCTCTCTCTCACTCTCTCTCTCTCTCTCTCTCTCTCTCTCTCTCTCTCTCTCTCTCTCTCTCTCTCTCTCTCTCTCTCTCTCTCCCCCTCTCTCTCCCTCTCTCTCTCTCTCTCTCTCTCTCTCTCTCTCTCTCTCTCTCTCTCTCTCTCTCTCTCTCTCTCTCTCTCTCTCTCTCTCTCTCTCTCTCTCTCTCTCTCTCTCTCTCTCTCTCTCTCTCTCTCTCTCTTCTCTCTCTCTCCTCCAAGGCGGGAGAGAAGCCAGTTCGCGTTCAGCCCAGACGAAAGTTGGTTACGACTGATCTCCTGTCAGCGGCCTCAGACTGGAAACTTCTTGTCGACTCAGTTAGTGCAAAGATTTCTTTCCCTAGCTGTGTTGCACTTACCACCCTAAGACCAGATATAGTTCTGTACTCTACGAGTCGTAGGATTGTATTCTGGATGGAGTTGACAGTTTGTGCTGAGGACAGATTCAGTGTCAGTAACTCGCGGAAGGACAGGCGGTATGCGGATCTGGCCGATCAATGCCGAGCAAACGGGTGGCAGGTCGTTTCTTTTTCGGTTGAGGTAGGTGTGCGTGGTTTCATCCCGGACTCTCTTCGGAGGGCTCTGAAAGCGCTTGGATTTTCTAATCGAAGAATAAAATTTATTTGTAATTTGTGCAGTAAGACGTCTCTGCGAAGCAGCTACATCATCTGGTTGCGGCGTCAACAAAAACACTGGTCGGAAGATCCACTTTTCTGAGGTACTGTATGTGGGGCTCCGTTTATTGAGGTGCGTTGAAATTTATTCTCTTTATCTTATTATTTCTTTTCTATAATTTCCCCATATGAGTTCCTATCAGTTGCTGTGAACACCTTGAGTGGAGAGCGCTTGCTCGAGCGTTGAACCGGGTTCTTAATCCACCATACCCAGTTCGCAAGGCTGGGCGGGGTTGTGAGCAGGCTTTCATTTCATCTTTTCTTATTATTTCTTATTATTTCTGCTTTTCATCTCATTACAAAAATTCTGCGCTTTTTCTCCATCTGCGCATAAAATCTAGACTGACAACCTGCTTGTTAAATCATGCACCTGCTTTCAGGCGTAAAAACCCTGTTGTAGAGGTCTCAGTCCTCATTTGTTAGACTTACCTGTCTTTATAAATGTAACTTACTCTCTCTCTCTCTCTCTCTCTCTCTCTCTCTCTCTCTCTCTCTCTCTCTCTCTCTCTCTCTCTCTCTCTCTCTCTCTCTCTCTCTCTCTCTCTCTCTCTCTCTCTCTCTCTCTCTCTCTCTTGCATTCATGCCACCTACCCTCTCTTTTCTAGACCCGGTCCATGCCGGCTTCCCTTTCTCCACTTTCCGTAATACCTATATCCGTCTGGACCGCATAGTTCACCCACACCTGAGCGGGATTCAGAGTGACAAGAACAGGACATGAGAGGGACCACTTCCACCAAGTCTGAGTGCCAGTCTGAGTACCCGTTCGTTGGGTGCAGGGGAGGTGAAGAACTTGAGGCATATTCCCTGACTACAGGTATTGGCCACTTACCAAGATCCTCACACACACACACACACACACACACATACACACACACACACACACACACGTACACACACACACGCGCGCACGCGCGCACACACACACACACACATACACGTGCACGCACACACACACACCATTGGACCATTGGACGCCCATCGCCGGAGGCGATGATAGCGATGCTACAGCAGAAGCCATAGCAGCTTGTGCTGGGATTGCACCATTCAACAGCTTGCAAGGCTGAAGAATTAACCGCCACTATTCAGCCTGGTCTACACCACACAGCTATAAAGTGGCTTTTTCTGGCCAGTGAATCCCTACTTTTTGGTCTTTTTTCATTTTTTTTTCCGCACACACATCACACCACATACTCCGGCATGCACTGGCTGTTGGTAACCACCCAGGAGAATGAAAGAAAAGTCAGGAGGAGTCTGAGAAAGAGAAGAAAGACGTGTGTGACCATAATCGTCGGGAATCGAACCCGCAGCCTCTCGATTGGAAATCGCTGCACATACCACTGCACCATATGGGACACACACACACACACACACACACACACACACACACACACACACACACACACACACACACACACACACACATACACAAACGTACACACACACACACACACACACACACACATACAGAAACGTACACACACACCATGTACAATATACGCCCGTCGCAAGAGAAGCATGCAATCTGCAGATGCACTGGATGTGCATCCACAACGATAGCGGATCTGATCCCCTCCCCCCCCATTGCACACCTGGTCTACACCACGCGGACCACATCGGAATAGGACGGCCAAGACAGTTACCTATGCACACCCTACACTTGCAGGGGCAACCAGTCTAGACATCATGCTGCTTTGATAAAAGCAGACACTAGACACACACACACACACACATATACCGTATTTTACCGGTTGTAAGTCGACCCCGGTTATAGGTCGACCCCCGTATCCGAGGTCTCATTTCTGCGTTTTAAAGCTTTCACCCAACGAAGCACTACCAATCACTCCCTGCTACTAACACATCAACAAATCATGTAAACATTCCTTATTGGAGGGTATAACGTCCCAATCCTTGAAAAAGGCCAATAAACTGGCAAACATGTGTACACATGGTGCACTCATGCATGCAGGGCAGATCATTTTGTGTAAGATTCTGATAGTTCCCGGTTATAAGTCGAATCCCGGTTGTAAGTCGACCCCCACCCTTTCTCCTTCTATTTTTAGTCGTAAAAGGTCGACTTACAACCGGAAAAATACGGTACACACACGCGCACACACACACACACACACACACACACACACACATGCGCGCACACACACACACACAGAATTGGCAGCGGCATTCTCACCATGGTAAACGTTACTTTTCCACGTCCCCCTGTAAAAATGATCGCCTACTTTGTTGTAGATTTGTTCGCCTGATCCATCTCGCTGCCCGTCTTTCATATCACCCGAATAGCGTGCTCGTTTCTCACCGCGGTGCTCACCAGTGTGGGTCTTTGGTCCCAACGGTCTTTGCTTCGTTTCACTTGGATCACCGCCACCAGAGCGGTCAACAGTGGTACGTGCCGTGTGTTGGATGTGTGGAAGATGTGGAATTCCGGACCCTGCTGACCTGTGCGCCCCCCCGGCTTCTGCAGGCCTTGAGCCCCTAGTTGATGTCGATGGTTTTCTAGCGGCCATCTGTGTGAAGTGAAAGTGAGGTCATATAATAATCACTATTACACGTATGTAGAGAGAAAGATGTATGGATTATCCCAGGAGTACGATGGGTATACCGCTGAATATTTTCACGAGTGAGTCAGCACGAAGGAAAATTGTATGGGATACGGTATACACCGAGTATGAATGGTATAATGCATTTATCCCATGTACTGTCCCAAATAGAGCGTGACCAGCACTAAAATCTCCCTTATTTACTCTCTGGCATGACCCGGGGAATATCCGTGACCCCAGCGGGGAATATTATTGACCCCAGAGGGGAATATCGCTCTATATTTCCCGCTCAGAACGGCCGCTGATTGGCTGAAATCGTCCAAATCGCTTCGTACCATCGTACCATGGGTTAACGATACACACATGTACAGTGTAGCCTGCGTGAGGTTCAAGCTGTTTCGACCACGGTACCATAATATAATTTTTTCCTGCTACTACGATAGTTAGGCCCCGGCGGATAATGCTAGCATTATATCTAGCATATTTAGCCCTTTCTGGGAACTAGCATTGCACTAGCATAATCAGCAGGTTTTGCAGAAAACTAGCATATTCTTGCAAAACATGGGATCTTCGTGAGAATTAATTCACAATTCCCTAGCCCTCGCGATCGCGGGAGGCGGGCGCGCAGCCTTGATCATGCATGATGATGATAATTATGTCAGTGCAGCTTGCAGTGGTGTACTCTGCAGGCTAGATCCTCTATGGCTCTACATGTAGCCTTGTAGTTGTAGGCTTTGTAGCTAGGTTCCGCAAATCATGGCTTTTCTCTCACTCTACAAAGTTCAAGTCTAGAATCTGGGGTCACGCAAATCTAGCCTGGCGCCTAACTACAGGATTGTACACATAGTGTCAGTGACGTACAATGGCCATCTTCCACCACAACTAATACTTCAGTCATGTAGTAGCTAGCGAACCAGTTACCTAATTTCCTTGTGACTTCCAGTTCCAGTACTCGTGCAAGACTATTGCAATCTTTGTTGCCATCTCGAGGACGGTCGATCGGATCCGTACGGGACCAGTCGATTGCAGAGAAATATACACGCAAACTAATTATAGAACTGTGTTCGCATCCGAAAACACTGGTTCACTTCAAATCTTCAATGTCTAGCCCTCTACCATGTCTACTACTTGTAGTAGATCTATGACTCTGGCTGGGAGTCTGGGCACAAGCGTTGGGAAAAAAAACTTGTGATGGGTGTACATGAGAAGGCGGTGAGAATGGGAGCGTTTTGTTTCCACTAACATTAAATTTTGCTTATTATTCTTTGTTAGCTGATGAAGAACACACATCATGGCTATGTCCGAGCAAGCAGCCAGAGACATCGTTGATCTAGTAAGCAGTAGCGATGATCACTTTGATTCCGAGTTGGACGATGAAGACGCCTCAGAATCAGAGTCCGAAGAGGACGAGGTCAGGACAGCGTGTGAACGTCTTCCCGAACCAGCCAGAGTAGCGATTTCCCGAAAACGATCTTTCCAGAGAAGTGGGAAGGAGTCCGTCGCTAAGCGTGGGCGAATTGCCGATGGAAGTTCCACATTGACACCTCGTGTCAGCGTCCACCATCGCGTGCAGCAATTTCCAGGGGAATATTTGACTGTGTCCAGTGGGAAGATTTACTGCAGTGCTTGCAGCCAGACAGTTCAACCGAAGAACAGCATTGTGAAATCACACATTTCGAGCCAAAAGCACAAGACGGCCAAATAGCGAAAGTCACGAGCCCAGCTACACCAGCAAGCGCTAACAGCTTCGTGGGAGAAGTACACTACAGACCATAAGAAGGAGCTGGCAGGAACAGGGCTATCTGGTGCTGTAGCCAATGATGTCCTCATTCGAAGAGCCACGTTGTAGAGTCTTTCCTCAAAGCAGGTGTGCCTCTGAGTAAGATAGACCACCTTCGTCCGTTGCTTGAAAGCAACTACTGTCGCATGACGTACAGCACTCACATGGCACAGTTGGTGCCGTTCCTGTTGCAGAATGAGCAGTCTATCATCAAGAAGGAGATTGCATCTGCAGCTCATCTCACCGTTATTTTCGATGGTACTTCACGCCTTGGCGAGGCTCTTGCTGGTGTCAGTATGGTGTCCTCCGCTACGTCGATGGCGATTTCAACATACACCAACGGCTTGTACGTTTCTCTGTACTGTCCAAAAGCCTAGCTGGTACCGAACTACCTCGAGAGCTCATCACAGTTTTGTCAACACAGCTGCAAGTTCCGAGCCACAAGGTTCTTGCCTTTGTCCGAGACTGTGCAGCTGTTAATGGTGTTGCTGTTAGGGTGGTAACAGATCTTTTTTTGACCCCATATAAAGTGGCATTAAATTGAGCACAACAAGCATTAAAACTAGCATAATGTGCCACTTTTACTAGCAGTGCTAGTAGCATAATCGCCGAAAATAACTAGCATTATCCGCCGGGGCCAAACGATAGTACTTCAAAGTAATATCAGGGAAAGATGTGCTATGTGGGTCATCGCATGTTATGTCATGATATAAGTGTCACAGAGTGCATACACCCCCTCCTTTCTTTGAGGCATTGGAACGTACAGCTTTTTTGCGTCACAGACACAATGCAGCAAGAGTTGGCCAAGGCTTTTCTTTTTCAATGTGCCAGACATTTCCAGCGTGCAACTTGGCACGTGCAATCCTTTTAGAACTACCAAATTCCTTCTCCGCACAATTGCATAGGTAGGGAAAAGGCTGGGGTAACGTATTGCATGCGCATACACAGACTTTTTAAATAATATTCTCAGAGCAGAGTCCTGGTACCAATGCTTAGCAGCTTTTCTGAGCAACAGGCCATTTGGAAAGCGCGATGACTGCACATGAGAGATAGATACAGTTTCCTACATAACAGTTCTTACAGTGATTTCGGGCAGGGCCTATGGAAGGTGTGCGCTACTGACTGTCGAGGACGGCAGTTCCTTCGAGATGGTGTATTTCCGCGCACACCAGCGCTTCGCTATGCGGAGCAGACGACGGCGCTATCCGGACATACCCCGATGCATGCTATCCGTGATTAGCGTGCACAAACACTAAACTTAGTGTAGATCGCTCACGACACACAACTCCCTGCCAGAGAGCGAAGACCGCAGAGCAAGAGAGTATCGATAAACCCTGGCACAGTGGCAGAAATAGGTGGAACTGATCTCACTTGCTGTATTTTCGAATCTCCCTGTCTCACCTCGGCTTTAGCACGGGATCCACTGCAAAGTTTTGCGTAAAGCGATGTTGTTATCCGCACACAGTCTGATACAAACCAAGCAGCTGAACATCGACACAGTCATCATGTGCGCGTTCACACTGCAGTGCAGTAGACCTACTGCAATGTAGATCTACTGCCGGCACAGTCCAGGAACGAAAGATTCTCAGTAGATCTAGGCCCCTGGCCTAGGGCTAGGGCCCGGCCCGGGGCGTTCATCAACCATGTCAACTGTTCGAACAAATAATAACGGTGGAATGTCCTGGCGATGATGACGAACGATCAGATCGACCATCTCCACGTACTACGTCACAGTACGTGACCAAACTCTTCGGAACTAATCCACCTCTCCCATCGGATGAGGTTGTGGAGTTTCGAGGAGCTTCGTGTTTCTGAAGACTTCAAGAGGCCAATAAGGCCACCTCTTCAGAAAAACGAAGCTCATCGAAAAGTCAAAGAGTGGTAATTCGAACGCGCCCCTACACGACTGTACTATTCATTATTGTCTAGGGCCAGTAGGGGCGGCGGCGGCCCGAGCAGTGAGTACCGTATCGTAGTCATACGAGTAGCGATTAGTGGAGTGTTTTTTGCCACTCTTGCCTATAACTACTAGTCTTGGTCTGTTGAACTGAGCAACAATCAGGCAATCAACCCAGACCCAGACTAAGAGTCAGACCCTGCCCCTGGTTTGCAGCAAGCCCCACACTGACCTGGCTAGAAATATCTGTCATGTTAGATCCCTGCCCGGACCTACATGTACATGATCAGTCAAGAATTACGGTGAAATGGAAATAAAAGGCACGGCTCGTGAGAGAACCAGTGCGACTAACAATTACATGGTTTTCCACAATAAGATCACCACCATGATGCCGCGCCCTCATCAGATGCTGTTCATCAAGTTCCCTCAACTACAGTGCTGGCAACTGAAATCCGACCCCTTTGGCGGCACGGCGCGCCGCCAAGGGGGTCGGATTTCAGTTGCCAGCACTGTAATAGTACAATAAAAGCATATAGCTGCTCGCACTGTGCCGCATACATGTACATAGTGAAATACAGTCATACACAAGTCAAGCTCAGTATCCAACTGATCAATGTACGTGTACCATCATTCACTGCCAGTGCAGTGTACTTGTACATGAGTACAGGCTGCTGGCCACATCTAAACAATGACGGTTACAGAAACATGGGCACATCGTTATAGCAGTTATCAGGTCAAAGATGAGTTGCACTGTTTTGCGGCAATGGCAAATCATCGAGTTCCTTGAGTTGGATACGTAAAATACGGTAAAACGTGCCCTAACTGGACGTTGTTGGTGCAGCAGAAACTATCTTGATATGACAGGATTCCGCTTGATCCAGGGATGCACGTTTGATCCACAGCACTTTGGTACAATCATGACAATTTGTCCAGTCAATACAGGATTCAGCTTGGTCACACAGGGTCCGGCAAACACAGCGGGTTTTACTGTGCAATGCATGGGTCATACTGCATGGGTCATACTGCATGGGTCATACTGCATGGGTCATACTGCATGGGTCATACTGCATGGGTCATACTGCATGGGTCATACTGCATGGGTCATACTGCATGGGTCATACTGCATGGGTCATACTGCATGGCCATGGGTGTGGGTCATACTGCATGGGTCATACTGCATGGGTCATACTGCATGGGTCATACTGCATGGGTCATACTGCATGGGTCATACTGCATGGGTCATACTGCATGGGTCATACTGCATGCCCCATGGGTGTGTGGAGGTATCGTCATTCATATAATGCTGAGAGTAATGGATCAAGTCGGTTCAAAGTACACTACTCGTTCCCATTCACAGTCTTCCATCTTTGTGATGTCACGGAAGCCGAGTCAGAGAAGCCAAAATCTTGAGGGCGGGCATTAGGATTGGTAGTGACGCATACCAGGCTATGTTTTGATCTTTTTTCCCCGCATCAACACAACATCTTACTACATACTGCATTAAACGCGTGGTTTGCGTTTAAGAACCGGAGTCCAGTAACAACCGCCGGGTAGATGCCTTCTCGCTGACATACTGCCGGGTTGACGACTATCCTCTAGCTTCCACGATGCAGGCAGTAGCAGCAGCGAGGGAGGATTGGACTTTGGACACTCACCGTCCAGAGCGGGTGCGTTGACAATCGGCTCTTTGATTTTCCAGTTTCTGGGAATTGAGTTCCCTCTGTAGGCACCAAGCATGTGCCTGGGCTGTGATCTATGGTCATGCGCAGTGTGCGACATTGCATTAGATCGTTTGCGTGATGCGTAGGCTTGATCTGCTTGCCCTGCCGCCGCCGTGAGTCTGGGTTGGTGCTGGTGACCTACAGTATTCCTGAGCTCAGATCTTGGTGGCAACCTAGGTGGAGAGCTGTGGAGCAATGCACACACACATACACACCCCCACCCCCACACGTGAGTGCACATGCACACACACATACACACACACACACAACACACACACACGTGCACACACACACACACAGACACACACACACGTGCACACACGTGCACACACACACACACACACACACACACACACACACACATACACACACACACACACATACACACACACACACACACACACACACACACACACACAAACAAACACACACATACATGAGTTTCTTGAATCAATCAATCATCAGGCAACATAATAATAACGTTTGTTATGTTGCCTGACAATATGTTTCCTTGGTGAGGACCCAGTCGCTTTCATTGTGTGTACAAGCTCCCACCGTTAGGCGCTGCATCTGCCGCTAGGGTTTATCGGGTGTAAGCGGCCGTCGTGAGTTCCCTTCGGGAACGGACACGATAATTTTTTTTTTTTTACAAGCTCCAGTGCACCCTAGCACTGTTGAGCATTCTTTCAAAGACTTTGGGGTGGACGGGATGGGACCACTTCTCCTGTAGACACAATGATATATACATATAGATTTACAGGAGACGCAGTCTTGTGCGGGTACATGCATAGAACTCGCACAGCAGTAGAATGTTACTGCCGCATTGGCCCGTACAGGTCACACATACAGGATACTACTAGCACATACAGGATACCGTATAGCACTGGTAGGTTCTTTCAACTAGCCTCCATGGCATGAATTATTCCGCAGTAGATGACGCGCCGCAGCCAAGCAGCAGAGTACACTGTAGCACTGAATGCCCCGAGACATGCAGGCCACTGTACTGTAAGCTATCAGTTCTGCAAGGATTTAACCTTAACCAGACCGTGATGTGTGGAGTGATTCCGTGCAGATACTGGAAATAGCGGCTAGTGTCGCAGGCAGTCGGAACTCATTCGCTATGGGTGTACAATTGGCACCAGGCCACGTTGCTTGATGCTTGAGAAGGCGTGAAACTCGGAGCGAGCTCAAGCGTCTCGGTCTCCATTCCAGGGAGCCATGAAATAGTGGGGTGTGACAATTTCTTGCTAATCTACACCGTGCATATGCCAGCAAGCTTTTTCCCTTGCAGTATTGCACTCTATGGGTAGTAGGGCTCTCGGTTTCTTTCTTTCTATTCACTATGCATGGCACCAAACCCAAGCATTGGATCAGGGGACGCTGCATGTTCACACGCACGCACGCACGCACACACGCACGCACACACACACACACACAGTCTCACCTTGACCGTGGCAAAGTCACACGTGTGTGCGCAAAGAAGCCATGACGTTCTGTAGTCTCTCCCGGCCGAGCACCACACCCATCATCATCATTGTCATCATCAGAAGCAGCAGCAGCGCAGGCAGTGTTTTCAGACCTGCAGGGAATCATTGCATATTCAGCTGCTGATGTGAGCTTGACTTTCTCCTGAATCTCTGCTTCATCGCCTTGGTGCATTGGTTCGTGCCTACAGCTGGCATGTGGCACGCTCAAGCTGTGGAGAAAAGGAAACCTTTCCGGAGTCCCAACTCTAACGTACATATAGTCGTTCACACTTTTCATAGTCATGTACTCGGGTTCATCACTCCCGGATTCCCGGCGGTCATCAGGGGTCATGTTCGGTGACTTGGGTAGTGGATTAGGATACCTCCCGGCCCAAGCATGAGGTTGTCTTGGCGACGTCTGCTCTGACCGGTCCAGACTGCTGGTTCTTGCTCCTGTGGGCATTCTGCCAAACTGCACTGCCCCGGAGTACACATACTCATTGTATGGGTCATCATCATCAAAATTGTACTCCACTGGCCTGGTAACATTGTCTTCCAAGGAGTTGCTTCGACACGAGGTTTCTCTCTGCCGCGGGGTGATGGCACCCGACTCTGCTACAGCAGCTGACACATCTGATATTGCTGGACACTTGCACTCGTCATCGTTCCTGGCAAGTTGCTCAACGAAAGATGTTTCTTTCGTTTTTCCGCTGGCCAATTGCACGTCCTCAAGGTGACATTTGCGCTCAGAAGCAGGCCTATGCACAACAGAATATATTCAGTGAGAGTAAAGTACAATAACGTGCGTGTGTCCATTGTACATGATTTAAATACCAGACCAGTTCTGCATTGAATCAAGCATGCGCTACATGGTTCTGTACCCTGACATCTTACACCCTTCTTGATGTATCCAGCACCGCCGGAAGCAGTTTTCAATTAGTCCGGTCATACCATAGTCTTCCAGACAGTTTGTGTATAACATGGCGGGGACATAATGCCCTCCTCACCGGTACACATGTGTTGGTGGCCATGAGTTGGCCCGGCGTTAACCTGACCAACTGGATCGGTTCCGGTGGGCCTGATACCGTGGTGAGGTTAACTTTTCACTTTCTTATGGAGAGCGGAGTTGCGTATAATTTAGGATTTGGTACAGGGATGAATTTATCCTGTGTCGCATCGCAGTTTGCGATGCAAAATTGATCGACTGCTACTCAAAAGTCACCGTGGTTTGCAAAAAGCTGCGATACATACAGACTATCCATGCCTATCCTGCGCTGTCAAGTAGCATGTATACAGTGCAGTGTATGTGGTGCAGGCACTCTCAATTTGCGTGCACAAGTATGACTCAGTCGGTTTTTTTTGCAAATGGGCTTTCAGCATCACTCTCAAGAAGGACAATGTGGTAAATGTACAGTCACCTACCTGTGCCTATATATTTGGCATGGTGCATCCATATGTAATTTAACCCCGCTTCCTATTTCACACCTTCGCGTACGCACATGCACCTCGTATGCACCAGCGGTAACTGTTGCGTGCCTGTGCTGTTACATGCCTACTCTGTCCCTGTGTTCTCCACTTCTCCTTCTGTCTTCATCAAGTATAGTTTGTAATTCCTACCGGAGTGTGATGGTTGTGTTGGATTGAGAGAGTGTGCATGGGCATTTATCCTTAGTGCTGTTGCAGTAACGCAACAGTAAACATCCAACCTTCAAAGAAAAATGCTAATCAAAATCAAAGACTGCTACACAATTGTGATTTTGTATAGCAGAAACTGCTATGCGAAAATATGACAATAAATTCATCCCTGTGGTATTAGGGACATCTCTACGAAGGCCTCAACTATTACAGTGGTTATGCAAAGGTAGAACTTGGTGTGCAGCCAGCCTCGGATTTAACTACCGCTCGCGAGAAACGACACTATCTTCGGAACTAGAAACTCGCAAGTAGTAAGTATTTGACTGCATATTTTCAACCTCACGAATAATGACAGCCTACGAATAGGAACACTGCTCCCATGCCCGATCGATGGTCATAATTCACAAGGTTGACTGTACTAGTATTCAAGATTGGGCTGATGTGCAGGATGCCTTACCTGCTCGAACTGGACACAACCAGCTGTGCACACGGAGGTGACTTGCTATGTATCGCTGCTGGCACAGCGTGGTACGCATGAAGACCACAGGCACGGTTAAAAGCAGCAGCAGCAGCATCACCACCTCCCCAATCAGTGTTCACTGTCATGGATTCAATCTCTGAATGCTGCGGCGTGAGCTCTGCACTTTCCTCAGCATCCGTTGCCGACCCACTGGCAATTATTTGGTCACCAGAGCTCGTGCGTTGTGAGCCGAGAATGTCCTTTGTACCCTCCTTACGTAAACTACTGCTTGGTGGATCTCCAACAGCACAGCCCGTGTCACCTTTCATTATCATATACTCTGGTTCGCGATCACTCTTGGATTCCCGGCGGACAGCGGGTGTCATGTTCAGTGACTTAGGTAGTGGATTAGGAGATCTCCCGGTCCCAGCGTGAGGTTGTCTTGGCGACGTCTGCTTTGACCGGTCCAGACTGCTGGTTCTTGCTCCTGCGGGCATTCTGCCAAACTGCACCACCCCAGAGTACACGTACTCATTGTATGGGTCATCATCATCAAAATTGTACTCCACTGGCCTTTCAACATCGTCTTCCAAGGAGTTGCTGCGATACGTGTTTTCCCTCTGCCGCGGGCTGATGGCACCCGACTCTGCTACACCAGCTGATACATCTGATATTGCTGGACACTTGCACTCGTCATCGTCCCTGGCGTCTGAATGCATGAGCTCTGCACTTTCTTGAGCATCCTTTGCCAACCCACTGGCAATTATTTGCTCACCAGACCTCGTCCATTGTGAGCCGAGACTATCCGTTGTACCTTCCTTACATAACCTACAGCTTGACGGATCTCCAACAGCACGGCCCATGTCACCTTTCATGATCTTATACTCCGGTGCGCGACCACACTCGGATTCCCGACGGACATCAGTTGATGTGCATCGGGGCTCGCCTAATGCTAGTAGATTAGGGGGTTTCCCACTCTTGTGATCCGCAGGTTGCACTGATGGTGTCGGCTGTGACTGCTCCAAGCTGGCGTTTCTTGTTCCTGTTGGTATTTCACCAGACTGCGCATACTCAGAGTACGAGTATGCATATTCATTGTACGGGTCGTCATCATCCAAATTGTACTCAACTGGTTCAGCAATAGCCTTTGGCGAGTTACCCCGGCACGACATGTTCTCTCTCCGATGGATGATTCTGTTCGACTTTGCCAAATCTAGTAACTCATCCGGTTGCATCGAACACCCACGCTCATTGTTGTTCGCTGGAAGCTGGTCCGGCGGCTGTGCTTCTCTGCTGATTCCACTGAGTACGTACGCTTCCTCGCGTTCTTCTCTATTGTCAGAAACAGACATACATACAGCAGAAATAGATCAGAGTAAAGGTTGTGTACATATAATTATACAAGAGAAAGGAGAAGGGACACATTGACACGAGTTATGAGCAACTGTCCACCACTGTAGCTAGATGATAAACGTTCATTGAGAAAGTGCGCCAGCAAGACACACCACATTTCCAGAGTGTTGATACGATCAACGGCCTGACACCTGGCTCCAACATATCTCCAGAGTGCAAGCCAGCAGCTTTCCAACTTGGAAGTGGGTTACCGGTAAGTAAACTGAGACTGCTTGAAATGCCGGTCAAGCCATTGGCTCAGAATCTGAGCTTTAAATGCTGCATTTATGATGAGTCGTCACAACCTATATTATGGCAAAACGCACGTCATGTGAATGTAGTCAACTCATCCATGACAAGGCTAGTATCATTCAAGTGGAGTAATGTAGGATATTGGCATTTGGGTCTGCCCAATTCATTTTCCCGCAAAACTCCTACGGTATTCACCTTCAATAACCTCCGAGTCGCCCAAGTTGGTTGGTGTGGGGCTTCGAGTTTTCGGTTACGGATCACACTGTCCACTATCTTATTGGTCTCATCATGACTTGATCCAGTAACAGTCGTCCTTGTTGTGCTTTGGACATGCGTAGGAGCTAAGTAAAAGGACCTTTAATGTTTCGGCACTCTCTATAGGGCCTCTGAATCATCTCACTTTCTGACGGTCCATTAGCGCTATAGCTTACAGTGGTGGACAGTTTCTCTAACTAATAATATCATGTGTCCCTTCCCATTTCTATAATATACTCAGTATCCGAATCCGAGAGGGCACAATCATGTGCTGAATAAAGAAGTCATAATGATTCAGGGTGCCACAACTCAGGATTTTTCGGTATCTGAGATACTGCCAATTAATTTTGAGGTTTCTTTTACGCCTGCCATTTTTTGGTGATGCAAAAGTCAACGCTTATCCGCAGGTTTATTATGCATTGACAAGTACATAGTGACTATTGTGCAACGTGTAGCCAAAATATTCTGCCTTGGAATACCAATTAATTATTTACCTCGAACCAGTCCACGCTCTGTCCTTTGTGGGAATTTCGGAGGACGACATCAGCAGTTGGTAATTTCCGCTCGATCAAATCCAGAGCATTCCAAGCTTCGCAAGGACTGGAGCTTCAATTTTAGTCCAAACGCCTCGAAGGAAGCCTCATTTTCGTTCCCGCTCCATTCTTGCGAATGAAGCTACTTGTAGAATCTGATTTACGATTCATAGTACTGCTAGATCTGCCGTGCAGTGATGCCCTTGCGTAGACCTGTGGCCATAGGCAAAATAATAAGCCGCATAGTGGCTGTGCGCGTGCAGTGCAGTGCAGGTCAGTCTACCAATGACATTACGCCGATGGCGATGGTGTCACAACGAGTTTCGTGCCATGACAGTGAAGCCTACCTGCAGAAGACAATCAGTGAAGAGAGTTGCCACTGATGTGGCAGTCGAGCCTGGTCTCCAACCGCTGACTGGAGAGCTCTTGCTTCAGTACCGGACCGCTGTCACCGACGACCAGGCCCGATTGAGGCAAAACGAGAGGCGGAGCTTCGTGACATGACAGCGAACCTGCTGTCTGAAGAGAGTTGCCACTGATTTGTCAGTCGAGCCTCGTCTGCAGGGCGCTGACTGGAGTCCAGCGGAGAGAGAGAGAGAATCCAGACCTCAATCACACATGACCAAGCCCCGATTGGATTTTGAGGCTAGTGCCAGTAGTGGTGTGTGGGGGTAGATCATTCGAGCGTGTGTTTCTACCTTCTACTTCTTTGATCTACAGCCAGGTTTTCACCCTTTTCAACGGCAAAATAATATTGAACATCCTCCTTTGGCCTTACCTCACTCACGTCACCGGACGTTACAGCACCGTGAGAACTAGAACTTCGTAGTCAGCGTTTCAACGAAGCGGAGCATGCCACTTTTAAAAACTTTCCTACCCTCAGCTTTCCCAGTCCGTGATCATGGTGATGGGATGGAAAAGTCTGCCAATAGCTTCTACACTGGCTGCTGGTCGCGTCTTTAGTACCGGTATTCGACAGGACGAAATAGCAACCCGGCCAAGGGAATTCGTGGACTCGGGACCGTCTTTCATTTGCTATTAGCATCACTTGTTGGTGTTGCACTCGTCGAAACCGGTCCCAGCCAGCCATTGACACAATCATCTGTCGTGAGGATGGTGGCTGAGGGGGTTATCTGATGATGCGGCACTAACTTGTTCGCTCCATGCATGCACAACAACAATTATTACCGGTATGAAAACAATGACGGCGACGACCACAGCGACAGCGGCGATGACAACAACAACAACACCACCACCACCACCAACAACAACAACAATAAAAACAACAACGACAACAACAGCGACAATAACAGCGACAACAACAGCAACAGCAACAGCAACAACAACAACAACAACAACAACAACAACAACAACAACAACAACAACAACAACAACAACAACAACAACAACAACAACATAAACAGCAACAACAACAACAACAACAACAACAACAACAACAACAACAACAACAACAACAACAACAACAACAACAACAACAACAACAACAACAACAGCAGCAACAGCAACAATTCACGATCCGCGTATCCGTAGGAACGCCACCCACCCTTCATGAATCAAGGTGCAGATGCAGCTCCTAAAGCAGTGGGAGGTGAGTAGATCAGACCCACCACAAAAATGGTCAAAGCCCGAAAATCCCATTCTCTGCATGCATGGCTGGAAAAAATCCTTCCACTTCCAAGCAGGGCTTGAACCTGGTACCCTCAGTGGCCTTAGACCATCCCACTATGCCTGCCAACAACAACAACAACAACAACAACAACAACAACAACAACAACAACAACAACAACAACATCCAAAAATACATGTAGAAACACGTCGGTGGTGAAATCACAAAGTGTGATATAGGGAAGGGCATAAAAGCCCGTATATAACGTTAGAAGGGAAGGATGGGCCAAGGTGAGAACCCTGGGCCATGGGTGGCACCAGAAGAGACTGGGCACGTAGGCGACTTGCCAGAGAGGACGTTGACACAAAGTACTTAGACGTTGACGAGTTTTGAAAAAGTTCTCATTCAAATAATAGCAAAGACTAGCTCAAGGCAAGCATACTCATATGTCATAACCGTACAAGTATCAGCAGGCGCACATGCATCCAGTGGTTTGTGAGATTTCCCACTTTCTTGTACTCTCTCTCTCTCTCTCTCTCTCTCTCTCTCTCTCTCTCTCTCTCTCTCTCTCTCTCTCTCTCTCTCTCTCTCTCTCTCTCTCTCTCTCTCTCTCTCTCTCTCTCTCTCTCTCTCTCTCCGCTACCATGCTATACTCCGTGCAATCATAAGTGCTGAAGTAGATGTGAAGGTAAATTGTGAACATATGTTTGTGTACATACCGGTAATGCTTATACTGTAACAACGGGTACCAGTAGGTTGCACACAGTGCCGGTCATGGTGACATCATGGTCATGGTGACATCATGGTCATGGTGAGATCATGGTCATGGTGAGATAATCATGAACGGTGTGACCGGCGGTTGCAGCATACCAGGTTGTTATAGACCAGACTTAGAGGTAGCAGCAAATCCTGTTCTTTGCACATGCTATTATTTTATTATTGCAGTTTTTTTGCTTCTGTAGTTCTGAGTGGTTGTGTGAAAAGGTCACTGGAACATACATACATGCTCACTGCAGGCATGGCAACAGGGCCTGAACGAAACACCAATGTGATAACATAAAAGTAATGGAATTTTGCCCGCATGCAGACAATGTGTAGGCATGATCCGTCAAGCTCTAGTGGAGTGTTATTGTAAATCAATCAGCTATGTGCCCTATGGAGGAGCACTGGAGTCCGGGAACCACCAGGAAGGCGGCTGTGAGTTGGCAGGCGGGGGCTAATGGCCGCCTCCATGCGCTTCTTAGGCTTTGGAGGTGGCACGGGAGGATTTGGTCGAGGGCGCAACGCCTCGGGAGAGGCAGCGTGGGAGCCAACCTTATCGGCTTTGCAGGTCCTCGGGAGTGTGTTCATCTTGTCCATTTCAGGCTTGTCTGCGACGCTGGTGCGGTCGTCACTTGAACGCGGGGACGGTGCTTGCCACCGCCTCGGTAGACTATTCGTGCTGGCCTCATTGAACGGTGTTGGCCGCTGTCTCGGTAGACTATTCATGCTGGCCTCACTGAACGGTTTTGGTCCTTGTCCTGATTGACACTGATAGGTGTGATTCTGGTAGCTGGATTTGGGGGACGAACTGGTCGGTGCGGAGCTGGAGTAGGAGGTCAAAGAGGCGACCAGGAGAGAATAGGCCGGAGTGAGTTTCAACACCCCCCCCCCCCCCCCCCCCCCACACACACACCAATCTATGCAAGCAGGCTCTGGCAGAGGGATTTTTCTAAATATTGCAAGTTGCAATAACAAAGGAATACGCACCACCGACACCGGGCACCCCTTGAGAAGGTGTTTGCTTCTCTGTGCCGTCCGTGAGGTCTGAATGCTGCACGCGGTGGGCGCATGCAGCCAACGCGTCTCCAAAGCAACAAGGCATGTTTAGCAGTTGTGGAGAAATCACGTAGAGCGAAACCCAACAGCGCAGATTTTTACGTTTGAAAATTACGTGCAGTTCCTACGTTATTTTCATACGTAATTCCGCAGAGCGAAACCTCCCTAATACGTCATACCTGGTAACAGTAGATTCCGCCGTAATGTATACTCTAAACCAGCTGAGGGTAAATACTTGCACACAACAAAACACCACATGGCATGGGCCAAGGTAAATGTATTCCCAGTGCTACTCCGCAGTGTGGCTTACCGTGCGACGTGCGGTAGCGTGGCCTGTGCATACGGACGCAATGGCACTGGGCGTCCATCCGGATTGTCGACTGCGCCACTCACACTAGCTGCACAATCACTGGCCGCCTTCCCAATGGCGAACTGTGCATACGGAGATGGCTGCATAACATAACGTTCATCCCGGTATGGGTCGTTGTCAGTCAAGCCACTCACCACACAGTGCTGCGTTTTGCGATTTGACAAAGAACTCTCCTCATGACCGGCAGGATGAGGTAAAGTTCCACTTGTGTACTCATCAATCTTGTGATAGTCGAGAGCATCATCCTCATCATCCTCGCTGTCTGCTGGCACTGTGGAGTCCTTCACATCACAGCTTTCGTGTTTTGGAAGCCGCAACCCAGTATTGTCTGGTGTCAGCATTTGACCAGGAGCGGAAGGACTTGAAACTGCAAGTGGACACACCAGTTCCCGCATTGTTGAGCTATTCGAGCCATGGCGAGCAGCAGGAGGAGTGCTGGCCAAGAACATGGTTGATGATGGGCAGGATGATGACATGCTTGTGCTAGTAGTAGGTGACTTGGCAGGTAGCGGCAATAAATATCCCGATGGCGTTTGTAATAGACGCGTTGTATCGCTGACAGTAGTGTGGGGTTGTGATGATGACGTGAGAAGCGGTGGGGGAGAGTACAACTTGTCTGTACAGTCCATTTTACCCATCCACGACTCTGAATGCACGTATTCCTTATACGGATAAGCATCGGGACTGTTCCCACCTTGCCAGTCTTCAGATTCCTGAGCACTATGAGCCGATTCCTCTCCGGGGTAATCAACATAGAGGTGGCTTCTCGGACCGGCCGCAGCCAAACCCTTCGCTGGACCACTTGAGCCACTGCACGAAGTCGGATGTTCATCGCCAACATCTGGTGAGCACTGGAGAATCGAGGCTGCCTCTCTGATGCGCTCATCAGACTGTTGGAGCTCCTCAGTGCTATCTGGCTGAGACAGATCACTTTGACTGAGCCGGTTGAGGATAGAACCAAAAAACTCTTCAATTGCCAGGACAGGAAGCCCTTCACTGGCTGCCTCTGCCATCGTCGCACTTGGTACTGGCATCGGCGATCGCCGTTCTCTGTAAACAGAGTGCTTGCGTGATTCTTCCAGCAGCCTGCCAATGTTGCGAGACAGAACCTTCCCATCTTCTCGCTCAGATTTCGACCTACGCACCAGAAAGCAAGAGACACATGGAAACAGTGTTCCACAACGGCAAGATGTAGACAAACTGATGGAAGATGAAAGGCACTGCCAGCCCATCATGCAACTCTGCTCACAGGTGACAAATCGAGAGAATCAGAGGTTCGAACAAGTACTTGATAGAGTGTTGCACAGTGTAATGTTAAATTTTGTCAAGCTGGCCTGGCGAATTGAAGATGATCTGGCCAATACTATGCGAGGAATACCCGTGACAAAGTCTGGCTCTTTCTAGGGCCTTCTTTGGCAGCAAAACAGGGCAGGGAGACTGCATTGCCAGACATGTTGATGTACATTCTATTGTTGGTCTATAACCATGCTCCCGCTTCCGAGTCCTCGTGGTAGTGAGAGCCATTTTTCTTCAGACTTTCCCCTTTTACCACCTTCAAACCTACTGCAGCGTGGTTTTTCAAGCATTGGGGCACTCCATGAGCTAGTTTGTCATGATGTGTGTGGGTACAATGAGGATTGCATCTCACCTGCCTGCGCACTTTCATAGGAAGTGCGAGTCTCGAAGTCTAATTGGAGTGGCGGGCGGTATCTGCTGGGATAGCAACCACACTGTAGCTCAGTGGTAGACCATCGCTGGGCTACAGCAAAAGTCCCTGGTTCGAGTCCGGGTGGTAAAAGTCAAATTTTTCTTCAGGCTTTTCAGTCCCGTCCAATCGAGCTCGAACTGATACAATGTGCTTCGAATTATGTGCACTCAATTTGGTACTATTGGCACGTTTGTCAAACAATTTCAACACATGAACATCATTCCCCATGGAACTGCCCCTCCATGCCTAACGACCTGCTCTCGACCGCGCTCTCCCGCAAAACTGATCCTCGTCCAGTACAGTGAAATTACTGAGTACCAATAATTTCTGAAGCTAGAGCAGTGGATCGAAGTACGGCCAGGTCAAAGTGTAGCACACGTACAAGTGGCCAGACCTGCTGCCGTACCCGTGAACGTACACATGTACATGTTGCATCACGTGTACATCACGCATTGCCATATTCACACCAACACGTCTATGACCCGGGTAGGCTGGATGTTCATTTAGAATTTAGGGGTGAAACGGTTACCCTTTAAGGCTACAAACGGGTACCTGGCTTAACGGGCGGGTTATTGGGTACCCTTTAGCAGCCAATAGTAACAGCTACTATACATTTCGTGCCAGGAGGACATGCAAAGTCATGCAAATCACAGCAAGTACACTACAACGCGGCAAGCGCACTTACCGCGCTGCATGCAAAACAGTCAAAATTGTCATATGTAGCAGGATCGAACAAACAACACATTCAAATTGTACATCGAATTGTGCGACTGTGCAAACCAGCTAATATTACCATACTGTACCGTCGTACACAGCTAATGGGTACTCGTTTGCTAACGGGTCAGTAGCTAAACAAACGGGTACCCGGATCACCCCTAATTTCGATTCCAGTCAGACTGTCAACATACGGTAATTATATACCTGGTTTAAATCTCACCTGCCCGAGAACCCCTCAAAGTCTGGATGTTCTTGAATCATCTCGGTGAGCAGCTGGCGAAATGTTTTCTTAATCTCCTTTTCCCCGGTAGTTTCGACTGCGCAATAGTGACCGTCTGAGTCAGGATCCCTCAGCACCACTGGCTCCTTTGCATGTGCAGTTATCAGCGCAATGAGGCGTGCGCGGAACAACGCCTTGCACTCCTCCACGCCATTCACCACTCTGCACATGTCCATGGTGGTGTAGGAAAAGATGGCCGACGAGGAGGTCCACGTCTGCGTGTGCCGCTTCACGTGCCGTGCCATGAACGCATCGCCCGCAGCCAGCGTGGCTCGCTTCTGCTCGGCTCTCATTTGCACAGCATTCAGCCACGGGATCGGACCCATTGGCTGGCCGCGCAGTGAAAGAGCATGATGTGCAACGTAAATGAAAGGCATGTCAACACCGCAACACTCTGCAGACGAGACAAAGAATGCTGGAATAGAGATTTTGCCATATCTGAAGCCAATGCGAGACGGATCGTCTCGAAACTTGCCGGGGCTTTTCTCTCCGGAGAAGAACTCCACGATGTTCAAGCGTTTACTCAGCTCCGGAGCGTCCTCACTCTGGCTGAACACGTCACACTTGCTTATCATGATTGCCACTGAGGCCTCGCGCTTGTTCTTCGGAATGTTCGCCCAGCACTTCTCCCACATCTGCCACTGGTGTTTGCGCTGAGCACGTGTAGCCGTCGGGTCCAGAACATACAGATAGGCTTGCACTCCAGCGCCGCCGCCATCTCTGCCTCTGACGTTCTTGCTAAAGTACTCTTTCGGAAACGACGTGCCTTGTGTACTCTTTGCTCGCGTCAGCTCTCCGAGATGAGAGCGACAGCTGTAGACAACTTTGTTTGCTTCTTTCGGCTTGACAAAGTGGCGAGTGCTACGTTGCTCATACGACTCGGCTCCGGCAAACGGCTTTCCCGTGAATGAATCCACAAAGGTCGTGTGCTCGACGACGTGAATCGACAGGCCATTTCCATCGGACTTCACTTGGCTACCACCACCTCCACCACCACCGTGGTGCATCAGATAGAAGTCACGACGTCCACAGCCAAAGTAGAGGAAGTGATCGCCGCCAATCTCCGCCTCCTGGAAGTCGGCCTGGTCGATCCAGTGAGAGTGATCATTGCCAAGCACACTCCAATCGTCCACGCCGGGACTGACAAACCTCGAACACAAGCTCGACTTTCCAACGCCGGCTGTGCCCTGCTCCATACCCGACGAGCATAGGCCAAGCACGGACAGACGACATTCCGGCATGATTATCCGTTTCGTCCAGCGCACCGTCACTGCAGTGGCTCAGTCAGTGCAGTTTGTTCTGTTGAAATGAACCAGACTGCCTAACCGTCCGAGAGAAGAATTCTTTTAGCGCTGTCTCTCTAGCTGCATCGAAGCGGCAACGATATCCGTTGGTAGCCTGATGCCCTCAAGCAAATATTACTGGCCAGCGTCCCCAGAGACAAGAACTGCCAGCGCAATCACACGGTCTCTTCTCTTTCTGTTCGTCAGGAAGGCGGCTGAGTGACATTACCGAAGCAACTTCCTGCAGATGAATTACTCCGAAATCCACAGAGCGCGTGCTCTGCTTTGAGAAGAGGCATGCAGCCCAAGCGAAATCTCTGCGGCCTACTAGTAGTTGCTCGAGACCGCAGTCGCAATTCCATTGATAAGCAAGCTAGAGCTAAGGTCAGCAGGTGCGGCCAACTGCATCGCTTCAAGAAACAGCGAAATGAATAGGAAGAACGATGGATTTGTCATTGCCAGGATCTAGGAGGAAAGCATAGATTTCAGGACAGACAGTGCATGACCGTAATGTACTGATGTAGATCTACATGTATGCATATTCTGCACTGGACAGTCAGTGTACTTGTAACAGTGAGTAACGGTTACGTTAGCATAGAATACAATGTACTAGACAAAGACTAGTATAACTAAGTAACTATAAGAGTGTAGAGCGGGATCAGGGAGGCCATTCCCATACATCGCCAGATCACATTTTTAGCAGTGACAGCCATCTGCTGCCTGCACCGAACAGCCTAACCTTGGCTTACCGGTACAGGCTTGGTTGAGTCCGACCACTACTGGCACTAGGCACCACCCCAACACGGCAACAGACTCAGTTGAAGGGAAACTGAACGCCAAAAATAAGTATGGCTTATCCGAAGGAGAATTGGGCACTGATTCCGATGAGCTATGTCTCGAGCCGATCAGAGAAGAGGAACTGTGTCAAATTTCATAAATAACACCTCCCATATTTGGAAATTGGCCATGATGACGTGCGTACTGCTTAGCTGTCACCATGCTGTGTATGTGCAGCAGTGTAATTGAATGGAAGAAAACAATAATACTTTGGTGTTTTGCAGCTCTGTTTCGTTCCCTGACGGTAACCAAATCTAGATGTAGGAATCTGTTGAGCAGGAGAGTGACACATATCTTCCCGAAGGCTGTCCAGGCTGCAGTGGTGATGAAAAAGACACGATCATCACCCCGAGATCGATCGTAGCGAATTGGAAAACTCATGGTGAATTTGCTTCCACTCCAAGGCAATGTCGAGGTATGAAGGGTGCTTGTACTGTCTTCCAAAGTGAAGAGGAGATGAACATGGCTTTGCATAGCTGATGTTCTATGCCAACTTACCTACTCTTGCTGGTACCGTAGTGGCATATTGCAAATTTCGTGGACGAACAACTCTAGTCACTAGTGCTAGTGGCTAGTGAGCAACACTAACAGGTGAGATTTTTCAATTCGACAAAAATTGTTTTTATTTGAGAATTGACAGTGGCAGTCATTAGACTCAGTAGGTGTCTCTCTGCTGCTTCTTTCCCTTCATCGGTAGGGTTGTGCTTGAAGTAAAAATAAATAGAAAATGTGGAACAAAAATCTGATCATGTAATTCGAATTTGAACTTCAAAGTATGTGTACATCAAATCACAAAAATGACTGTCAAGGTGGTGCTGTGCATTGAAAAAGACTGGGAGCTGGCAGCAATGGAAAGGGTAGAAACGAAACCAGTAATGCAGAGTATTCATAAGGTAGAGGGAGATGAAAACGGGAGAGGAGTAGTGAGCACTTCAGTTTGAAGTAGTGTCAATAGACAGCATCGTGTTGCATACGTTGTGAATATTGTGTGAATCTAATAATTGTCACGAAATTGATATCCAAAATTATTATCCCCTGAGTAGTATTATGGTGTTCTCCTGTGTTTACATGCAGAGCCTTGACGTTGCTGGACGAGCGACAATATAAATTACATAAACATGTAGCTCGTGATGTGGGATGACTGCCGTATCGCATTGCCAACGCAAACCCATCCTGTGTCAGTGCAGCCATCCAGCAACTAACTTGAACTCCCCGGACCAGATGCCGCTGCAGCTGAACACCATGCCGATGGAAAGCCAGGAGTTGATAGCAAAGCATTCTGGTCTGCACAGTACAAGGCAAAGAACAATTATGAATTATAATGCATTGTAATCTTTCCCACACTTCTTTGTAAAAACAAACAAACAGTGCCATTATCACAAAACTTGATCAAGCATCTTGATGGAGGTATTTTCCATTGTGCTGGCTCAGCATCTGCACCAGGAAGACCATGTACACTTACACGTATCTTGTGTGTGTGTGTTCGTGCGTGTGTGTTTGTGTATCTGTATGTGCACACGTGTGTGTGGGGGGGGGGGGGGGGGGCACGCACATGTGTATGGGTAGGAGTGTGTGGGGGGGGGGGGGGGGGGGGCGGTACACGCACATGTGTATGGATGTGCGCGCTGCATGCGTGTGTCTGTGGGATGGGGTGGGGGTGCACGCACATGTGTACATGTGTGTGCGCAATACAGCATGTGTGTATGTGTTCGTTGAACACAGGGTGTACTCCTGATTACATAAACTTCGTGATCATTGTGATTTCATGTGCTTTGAAGTTAAACTTCGCAATACATGTACTGATGCTTGATTAGATTTATGTTCCACATGTTCTATTTATTATTTTGGTATCTGTCTCACCGACAGCAACGCGTAGAAGTGAACGGAACCTCAAGTGACTGTAGAACCTGCACTAGGGGCGTTCCCCAGGGTTCCGTCCTAGGCCCTACCCTCTTCAGCATCTACACTCGACTTGTCCCCACTCTGCCATTGCGTTCCCAATGCCTTCTTTATGCAGACGACACCACCATGTATGCCTCTGGAAAGTGTCCACGAATTCTCATGTCTTACTTAGAAGACGATTTTTCAGTGGTTAAGCAGCACCTCACAGATCGCGGCCTGCTCCTGAACTCCAGCAAGAGCCAAGTACTACTGATCCACAGCAGACGCTCACATCCCCCACCTAACCTGAGCATTGTCTGTGGTTCGACTGTTATTGCCCCGTCTGACGAAGTTAAGTATCTAGGACTGACTCTCGATTCAACTTTAAGTTTCAGTGCCCACGTTAACTCCCTCAGGGAAGACATCGGAAAGAAACTAGGTGCTTTTCGACGTGGAAGGAGGAACCTTGCTGTCCAGGCCAGAAGGCAGTTCTACTTGTCAGTAGTCCAGAGCAAGCTCGAGTACGCCAGCACTGCCTATGTCCACTGCCTCGCTGACAATGTGAGAGATCAGCTGCTACGCATAAGTAAGAGAGCCCTTAGATGCATATTTGAGCATGACACATTCACGCGGACATCATACTTGCTTGAGCGATACCACATAATTAGCTTAGACAAAAGATATCATACTAAGTCCATATTCTTCGTGTTCCGTTGCATCCACAATATCTGCAGTTCACTCCTCTCTGACATGTTCTCCCTTCGCCGTGACTGCGCTCACACAGACAGAGTAACCCGCGGCCAAGTCAATTATTCCCTTTCCTTACCCATTGTGCAAGCCCAAGCTGGATACAGATCTATTTCATTCCTTGGTGCTGACCGCTTTAATGCGCTTCCCGAATCCCTTCGCACAAATCATATCCCCAATTCATTTCGCCAGGAACTTAACAATTTCATTCATCTTGGGCACCCTGTAAGAAGACCTTAGGGTCTGTTGGGAATGCCCAAGTAAAATAATAAAATACAATACAACAAACAAAATTTTACTTCAAGCACTTGTACTATTCAAGCACAACCCTACCGATGAAGGGAAAGAAGCAGCAAAGACACCTACTGAGTCTAATGACTGCCACTGTCAGTTCTCAAACAAAAACAATTTTTGTCGAATTGAAAAATCTCACCTGTTAGTGTTGCTCACTAGCCACTAGTGACTAGAGTTGTTCGTCCACGAAATGTGCAATATGCCACTACGGTGCCAGCAAGAGTGGGTAAGTTGGCATAGAACAGCTATGCAAAGCCATGTTCATCTCCTCTTCACTTTGGAAGGCAGTACAAGCACCCTTCATACCTCGACATTGCCTTGGAGTGGAAGCAAATTCACCATGAGTTTTCCAATTCGCTACGATCGATCTCGGGGTGATGATCGTGTCTTCTTCATCACCACTGCAGCCTGGACAGCCTTCGGGAAGACATGTGTCACTCTCCTGCTCAACAGATTCCTACATCTAGATTTGGTTACCGTCAGGGAACGAAACAGAGCTGCAAAACACCAAAGTAATTGTTTTCTTCCATTCAATTACACTGCTGAACATGCACAGCATGGTGACAGCTAAGCAGTACGCACGTCATCAAGGCCAATTTCCAAATATGGGAGGTGTTATTTATGAAATTTGACACAGTTCCTCTTCTCTGATCGGCTCGAGACATAGCTCATCGGAATCAGTGCCCAATTCTCCTTCGGATAAGCCATACTTATTTTTGGCGTTCAGTTTCCCTTTGAGTACATGTCTACTCAGTAGCAGCTGTTCCTACTACTAATATGCCCGTGAATAGTGGTTGTTTGCAGGGAGTCGTATTAGAGTCTTATGCTGACCTTTCATACAAACTTCCAGTCAACTTGCCCATCATGCTGGCGGTTTATACTGGGCATATAAACCTCATACAAACCCCATAGACCACCACAATACAAACTCCTTTTTAGAGATTGAGAATTTATGAAGGTCAGCAAGTACAATACATCCCACTAGTACGCTTGTACGTGAAATATAAACCATCATACAAACCTCGGCTTCGCCTCGGTTTGTATGTCGTTTTATATTTCACGTACAAGCGTACTGTTGGGTTGTATTATAATTATACGTATTCGACTCCCTGATTGTTTGTCAACCATGGTCAACAGTGACACTGGTATATGGGGCCGTGTGACCTACTCAAGCTCAACTGACCTAGCCCAATTCCAAGGATGCCAAACCCCGGAAGTTTGCGCATCGGAATGTTCGATCCAAAGCCTGGACGCGTGTGTTGGCGGCGCGGAGCTAGCGCTAGCGCTAGAAATAGTAGAATGGTCATTTCCGTGCCTACACTACAGACTACAAGTACAAGTGCAGTATCTCTGTGAGACGTCAGAACATTGTTTAGCTAGATAGTGTGTGTCAAATCTGTCGTTTAGTGTGTGTCTTGCCTTCCTAGCCTCCACGGGAAGCACTATCGAGTCTCTGGTGCATGCACATTGTACAGTGTAAGTACAATGTACATGCCAATGCCAATGCCATGTACATTGTACTTACACTGTACATACATGTACATAGTAGCTTGCCCATTTTAAAGGGCATGGCAGTTGACCATGGTTGACACGCGGCGGGCATGCATACCATTGTCATCATGGCATGACTATCTCTAAGTCTGACTACCGTGTTACTTCACGCAGGTCACTGCAACATGTCAACACTGACAGCAGGTCACTGCAACATGTCAACACTGACAACAGACGTCAGTGTTGCAAAGACTGGATACGCTAGTCGTTAGACAAACAGCGACGGAAGCCTTCTCCAACCATGCTCAGGAGATCATGAATCCCAGGTTTCATACACTCTTGCCATGTCACAGATGCAGTTACAATGACGTGTATGTTACCAGGCCCATGGTGTGCTGTTAGCAACAGAACACACTGCAGAGCCCCCCCCCCCCCCCCCCCCCACACACATACTGCCACTATTTTACAAGCCGGCGTACATGTACCTGGTAACATCTCACCACATGTCAGACACACACACACACACACACACACACACACACACACACACACACACGCATGCACACACACGCACGCACACACACGCACACACATACAAACACGCACATGCACACATAAACACACACACGCAGGTGTACACACGCACACACACACACACAATAGACCAATCTAAATCATGTGCCTCCACTACTCATCGAGGAAAGGATTCAAATGAGTGAGGTGTTCACCTTTGCTGGGCAGAAATCTCACTTTTCTCCCTTGCTTGTTACAATAGAGACGTCTCTCTCCCGAGTCCCGACGAAACGAGTAAAAGACAAAACCCGTTTGCAGTCGGCCTGCAGCAGGAAGTGAAACGAGGAGGCATGCCATGCTGGCGTATGCATGGCGCTTAAAGAAAAGACACGCTAACCATTTGGCGACAAGCCACGAGCAACCGGAGAAGCGACCCCGCGGCGATGGCAGTGTGTCTGAAACTTCAGTGCAAGAACAATGACCACAGCCTGATTGGTTGGTCCACCGTGACCCCAGGTTCCAGTTTACTCCAACGCCACAAAGCGCTGTCAACGATGCCTGCCTAAGATTGAAACTGGAGATCAGGCAGGCAGACAGAGCTGGTCTCCAAGACTAAGTATTAGTGCAGGCACGAAAACAAGTATTAAGTACATGTATCTGAGGACTTACGAGGGTCAGTACATTACATGTATCTAATGAAATTGTCACCATCATCAGTGACATGAACAACTACACCTCGCTGACTAGGTGCTGGTCTGCCCGGCGAGGCATGTTCTGATGCTGTCGGTACTGGCAATATCCATAGTTTTCTACTCTCTTTTTCTTTTACTGCATTCATCTCACCTCGGCTCACGTCACTGATGCTGGCAGGCAAGGTGCAGATACACCTAGACCTGGATATCCTGCGGTACGGTGGCGTGCCTGATGTAGTCCTTCCCTAGCGGGCCTGCCTGCCATTTCTGCCACATCCAACTAGCACACCAAACGACGTTACGTTGTTGGGAGTACACCACTGACACACTCATGCGATGTCACCCTCAAAACAACTTATCCTTTGGACATTGTAGTCGGCGCTGTCTGAGAATTGCTTGTGCGTGAATTTCAGAGCCTTAGCAATAAAGTGTTGTTTCCCATTATCTCTGTGTGACTAAGACAATAATAATGACTACACCCAGCTCGCAGGTGTATCGAACAATCCCTCCAGCTACCACAATTCGCCCGCAGTGTACATGACATGTGTTTATTCAATATACGTGCCAGTTGATAAGCGTTTTCCTTCCGAAGTATTATCGACTCATCCTTATCGGCTCCGCAGGTTCTCACGCCCATCTGGAATGGCTGAAAAGCTTGCCCACTCCACCCTGGAGTGCAGATTGGCCGTGCTGGGGACGTGCTGCTCAATGCTGGGTGATGGCGAGAGTGGAGTGGGCAAGTCTAGTCTCTGTAGCAGATTCATTCATCCAGGCGTGGATACTTGGCAAGAACTGGGTCACGATCACTCGCACTGGCTGAGCCAGACTGACTTCTCCGAAGCGGAAATCAATGGAGATCATTTCGTCTACTTTGGAGCTGCAAAGCGACTGTACTTGCCCAGGGGATCGAATCCATTGAGGTCTGCGGTGGAGCTGCGTATTCATGTCGTTGAGCACACGACTTTCATCGATGATAGCCGTGGTTGTCCATTCCCCGGAGCCGAGAACTATGCAGATCGAGCCACTAGTCCCACCATACATGTACGATCCTCTACCATGGTAAAACACCCCTACACATGTCGCTCTCGTCTAGGACAGCACACGCCTCATACGCAATCATCCAAGTTACTCTCCGCAGCCTGCAGTCGAGAGCTTGGTCCCTTTCCCAAAGCATACTCGTCGCATGGAGAGGGTGTTGACGGTTACCTATTTGTCTTGGACCCCAGCAAACCCTCCGCTTGCCGACAGTGCCAGTGGAAGGTTTTCACCCATTGTTGGCGGAAGATCCCCGACAAGAAGAAGAAACACGGTTGTGCCATTGTTCTGACGAAATGCGACCTGCTCCCCAACGACTTTGACCTGAACGGCAAGAACATCAGCATTGTCAAACTATTCCAAGGTGAAGCGCCCACTGGCACTGGGTCACAGACAGCATCAGCACAGACCTTCCAGGATTGTCCGGGGAAACTGGCCATATCCTGTGGCAAGCATCAGGTGCCTGTGTTTCTGGCGTCGGCGGAGTGCTGTTATGGCGTTGACATGCCGTTCGTGTACCTGGCACATCGTACTCTCAAGGTATTCGGTCGACCCAGTCTGCCCATGACTCGTGCGCAGCTGGTGCAGATAAAGCAGAGGAAGGAGCATGAAATGCTGCGGTCATTTAATCAGTTCTTGAAGCGTCGCGTCACGGAGCATCGGATCACGTGGAGCAATGTGTGGCCCGTTGATCATGACGATGAGACTGCAGAGCGGACCAGGGAGATGTGGCGGAGTGTGCTGGGCTCGGCGGTGCTAGAGGCCGTGTTCAACTCGCACATACGACGGATAGAACAACCCACCAACAAAGACAATGCACATGCACCATGGGAACATGGTCAACAGACTATGTGTACTGGTACCAGCCCGAGGTAAGCTGGCCCAGACGGCTATAATGTTACTACTTTACTACTAACTTCTCGATAGTGTTAAAAGGTGTTTTCAAAGACTCCGCTGTAGCCATGCACTGAACTAGTCTTGTTCACAAAGACACAAATCCATACACCACCAGCGAAACGCTCTCTAGGCTACAATTATTGAAAAATTATAGCAGTTTCTTGATCCAAGTGTTCGGGTCAGGCGTATCTTCCTGGGCAGCGGAGAGACCGGTTTCTGTAGGTGGTTGGCAGTGTTGCCAGTGGTGAGTGGCGGCTGTCGCGGTGGTATGGTATGGGTATGCATGTGCTTGCGTATGCGTGTGCGGTGTATGTGCGTGTGCGTGCGTGCGTGTGTATGTGCACGCTAAGGGTAAGGGTATATGTAGTAACAGTTACTCGAAGTAGTATTCCTGACTATGGCCAGTATGGCTTACGTGTATGGCATTACATTTCACTTAACCACAACGCTGTGAAGCTTTGTTCAGGTGTCTGTCAGCCTAGTGTCAGGTACACAATAATATCACAATTTCACTACAGCCGTACAGGTGCACCTGCAGTGTGAGAAGTCCTGTCTTTCCTCTGTTAATTCCTGTGAATTCCTGCAGGGATGAAAGCACTGTTAATTCCTGCAGGGATGAAAGCACTGTTAATTCCTGCAGGGATGAAACCACTGTTAATTCCTGCAGGGATGAAACCACTGTTAATTCCTGTTAACTCCTGTTAATTCCTGCAGGGATGAAAGCGATCACATTGACTATGATGAGAGATTCGTTATGGTCGGCCAGCGGAAGCACTCCAAAACGCAAAGCCTGTTCCGCGGAAAACGGCAACACGCTGGAAGCTTGCCTATGGATGCGGCTAATGAGCATGTTAAGGGAGCGACTAAGGCGAGGACTATAATCCCTTACGCTGAGGTCCACATGGATGGCACACGCACAATACACAGACTGGCGTATGAGGACATGGGCGATGATGAGGATGACGACGACGTGACGTCATCCTGGCTCATGCTTCACTGTCCTGACCAGCGACACTACAGGCCTGCTGAATTTATCCAAACGAAACGCAAGGATAGCGATAACAGGGTACACGGGAACTCCTTGCCGGAGGCAACACAGGATCAAGCTCCGCGGTGGCCACGGGTTGGCCTATTCCCATACGCGCACGCTCGTCTTGACCACTGTTCGTCATGCACAACATGCATACCATCTGAACACCAACACCAACACCCACACCACCACCCACACCCACACCCACACCCACACCAACACCCACACCAACACCACATGGACAGTACTGATGGTAGTGCGTTCTGCGATGGTCTCCTCGCACTGCCACTGCCACCCACACCTGCTCAGACTAAACCAGACAACGCTCCGTTGATACACGTGCAACTCCCTGATGAACAAGAGCCAGGAAACTCTGACGGACAGGACATCCCATGTTCGGAACGTTCCGCCAGTCCATCCACGTCGCCGGATTGTCGGTCCCGCCGTCGGCCCAGTGGACACTTCCGACAGCCAGATATGGAGAAGAAGCGGTCCGATTTGCGCTTGAACTGTCACGAGCCAGGAGACTCGATGGTCAAAACAATAGCGATTGGTGACCTTCCCCAATTGCAGGGTGGAATTTCGAACTCCTCTTCGCCTGAACACGACCCACACCAAAACCACACGGACAGTCGTGCTTTCCGCGACGGTCTTCTCGTACTACCATTGCCACCCACACCTGCTCACACTAAACCAGACCACACTCCGTTGATACACGTACGACTCCCTGATGAACAAGAACACCCTGGCACAAACTCTGACGGAGAGGACATCCCATGTTCCGAACGTTCCGTCAGTCCATCCACGTCGCCGGATTGTCGATCTAGTGGACACTCCCGACAGCCGGATATAGAGAGGAAGCGATCCGATTTGCGCTTGGCCTGTCACGAACCAGCAGACGCAACGCTCAGAACAATTGCGATTGGCGACCTTCCCCAACTGCAGCAGGATGGAATTTCGAACTCCTCATCCACGTCTCCGGTGGCGTGCGCCCGTAGAAGGTCCTCAACCGGTGATGGACTCCATACAAACAGGAGGAAATCATTCGACACGGCCGTCTTAACCAGCTCGAAAGATGGTGTCAGGATTCAGGCTAACGTCACTGACAAGCCAAAATCCCGAGAATATCTCAGGTAAGAGAGAATTGTACTTAGGTACATGTAACTGGTAAGGAATAAAAAAAAAACGCTTGCGGTGAACAGTCACTTTCTTAGCTTTTGAAGTAGAACCTGCAATTGTAGAACCTGCAATTGTAGAACCTGCAATTTGGTAGAGTTAATTTTTAAAACATAGTCATAAAAGTAGAAAGGAAAAGGACATATGGAAACGAGTTAAGAGTAACTCTCCACCACTGTAACTAGATACTATATACAGTCAGAAAGTGCAACAACTAGGCACAAAACTTAACTCGTTTCCATATGTCCTTTTCCTTTCTACTTTTATTATTGGCTCAATACCCGAGTTTCACATAGTCATAAGCGAAAACTTTCGGGCCAATTTCTCTTAGTGGCCCATATTGAACAAAGTAACAGGCAATTTGCACAAAAATCACCCCCAAGTATCAAAAATTAATGTTGAGGTGCTTATTACTCCGCAATATTGATGATGACTAGCTACTTGTTTTGGCCATTTCATCTCTACCTGGTACAATGAAGATAACGCACACTTCACATCCAAGAAAGTAGAAAAGCTTACACGTATATGTAGTTTCCAGCTACCTTAATTTAAAAGTGAATGACGACCTTGGTTTCAAGTTTGACTTGAGCTTACTGCTTAGCACCTGGAAATAGCCCTTTCCCAAAGGTGCTCGCCCTTTTTCGCCCTTTTTGGCCCTTTTTGGAAAAGCCCGTTTCTTTCGCCCTTTATTGCGTTTTTGGTGAATATCGCCCTTTTTGAGCTTTTTTAGCTGAAAAAGTGCTAAAATCTGTTTGCTCATGCATGCGATCACAGTTTCCGAGTGCTCGATATGGGCCTTGGCACGCCGCTTTTTTGGGGGGCAACAAGTAAGTTGGTGTTGTACCCGCGCGCGGTGTACACAGTGCTGTAAAAAGTGGGTTTTTTGAACTTTACTTCCTGTTTTGCCTTTCGTGGACCCATAAATGGAAGAGTGCGTATTCATTTCTCAGCTTGGGTTCATATCTGAACATGTATCATGGCTATGCTTCACTGAAAAAAAGAGCACTTTTTGCCTGTTTTCACTGAAAAAAGAGCACTTTTTCAGCATATTTTGAGGGACGCGAAAAGCACTAAGTGCGAATTAAAAGAGCACCTTTGGGAAAGGGCTACCTGGAAATGGAAAGCTATGACTGCGCCATACCACAACAAGAACATGTTGAACAACAACAACTTGGAGCGGCTTGCTTGCAAACACCAGAATGCTTGGCGGATAATGCTGGAAAAATTGCCCTATTCTGCTCAAAAAGCAATCATGGATGAAATTGGCAGAACCATTACAAGCCCTATGGCAGGCACTTCCTTGAATTCTGCTCCATTTCTTTATCCACAGTCATACAAAACAAAGTAAACATGCATTAATAATTATTAAACATACCAGGAAAATACCAAATTCTGTTAATTTTAAGATTGCAATAAACAGAATCAGCTGAAGCGACATGATACGAAGGTTTTATTGAGATGTAAAGTGCTAATTTCTTCTGCCACGTAATCCGCCAAGGGCAATGCCGACCTGGGCCCACCCTACATATTTTGTCATGGCGTGTACCTGTCGTGCCCGCATGCGGATCTCATTTGGATGTGTATGATCCCTTTCCACTGCTGCAGAGTTGAAGGCACGCCAGCCGATGTGAATCCACCGCCGCCAGCCGCTCCAGTGCGATCATGTTCTCTGAAAGGCACTGGTGATGTGGCAGGAAAGGGTACTTGCGAACAGCAGGACGACTCCCGGAACATAGCTGATAAATGGGTGGTTGACGCTCGCTCCGGTAAGTATATTCACATGGATGTGAAGCAGCAGGATGACTCATAATATCGCCACCTGAAATCCAACAGCAGCTACTAAGTTATTTAATTTGATCAGTAATTTTGCTGTTTTTTTTAGCTTCCCAA